AGTAGTCGTTGACTTTTGTCCGCGGCCAGCACTTAAAAATCTGACTTTTTTCCTCTTGTTATGTTTATATTTTTTATGGTTTTTTGGCGAAAAAAACGCAGTTTAAAAATATATGTAACGAGGGAGAGAGTAAGATAAGTAGAAACAGAAAGAGAGGGAAGGCGATGTGGTAACTGTTTGTTGTCGTTATTGTTAATTGTTGTTGCAGCGGCAGAGAACGCATGAAAAACTGGCACAAACACACACACACAAACAGCGCTATAAAATGTAGAACTTTTTCTTTTTTTTTTTACTTTACGTGCGACGCGAGAGTTTTATTTTGGCCGAAAAAGCGGAGAGCGGCGGCAACGACGGTTTTCTGTTATTTTGTTAAATTCCGAAAACCCGAAATCGAGAAGTGTTGCAATCTCAACGGCGGTAGAACAACGACTCGGAGTCGAACGAATGTAGTCTCCCGATTTGGGGGCCCCCAGCTGCGCAGTCGGCGTCGGCAGAGACTGCGGCAGAGGTGGAGCAGCTCTCTCTTGCTCTCTTTGGGGCCGCGCTTGCTCTCTTTGAGCGAAATTCGAGGGATGCAATGATGCACGTGCGTTGCTCTAGGTGTGTGGGTGTTGATGTGTACGTGTGTGTGTGAAAAAGATTACAATAAACACATTTTAGCAATATTACATATTTGGCCTATTTATTAAAACCACCTCCCACTGCCCACCGCCCACCACCCACTCTCTCTCAATCACACAATCTCCCGTTCCGATTAGAGTTGTGTCGTTCAAGAAAGAGAACGAATGCGGCGCAGCTGTACAGTGATCTAATAACGGTTAAGGTTGCGATTATCTGATTGGGACGGCGAGAAGGCATAGGCAAATGCCAATTGAAATGCGAGGCAGCACAAAACCAACTGGTGACAAAGCAACACATCCAAGACACTAAAACTAATTATTTTTTATTCATTCCAGTCAAAAAGTATGGTTTCTATCATTTATAAGTAAACTAAAATAAAATTAACTTGTACTACTACCGATTATAATACTTGACTAATAGATATGTAAAAAAAAAAATTGGCATCCTGTTTTCGAAATATTTTTAAAATTGCGCTCAGCAATAGATCGTTGTTTTTACTTAGGGTGTGTTTAACCATTTAATTAGTCAAATATAGTAATAGATTTACTACTTTGCAAGCAACTATCCATTATTTAAAATAAATCAAACTACTCGACAAAAAACAGATTTGGGAGCGACTAATCCCGCACTTATTTAAAATTCCAGTCCGCTGAGGCGTGGTCAGCGACACCTCATTTTTGGGGCTTTAGACTAATTAACCGAATTCGTTGGGTTCTGGCTGGCAAACTAGCCCCATTGTTATTCATATGAGCCGAAAGCAGTGTGCAGCGCCGGCAGCGACGTCGGCAGAGCCGTCAACGGTTTTGGCTGGGCGGGCAAACACAGTTATGTTTCGAGTTTTTTGATTCTTTACTTATTGTGCAATGATCCGCGGCAACTTAATTGCTTTTCGTTTGGGTTTTTGGCTACGAGAACGAACAGCAGTCGGGTTTTTCTGTATATTTTCCACTTTTGAGTTCTCTTTGCGCTACGCTGCACTTCAAATGCTCAATTGTTGTCTATCAAAATACGCTCCCCACTCCATGGAACTTTGTCATTGTGGGAGGACGCATAAATAACGCCACTGATAAAAAATGGGCGAAGGGCGAATCTAAAGCTCGTAATTATGGCCAGCCAGCCAGCTAGCTAGTTGGGTAGCAAACGGTTTTTTTTCCATTTTTATTTTATCAGCTCTCAACGCTTTTCTTACATAAGCTGAAAAAAAAGCGGAAAACACGTTGGAAAATTGCTCTGTGAATCCGAGAGCGTCTGTTTGTGAAGTTGGAAAATTTGAATTTCATCAACGGCAAAAGCAAAGCGAAAGCAAAGACAGCGGACGAAACAATCATGATAATTAAATTGAGTTCACTGATGCGTATACTTAACATTAAATTCAAAGCCAGAAGCACGGCAAAAAAAAAAAAGCTGCTGCGCTGCCTCAGTCGGCGTAGCTGTCGGAAAAAGTATAAAAATCAGCAACTGCTTTAAAATTGTAAAAAGAGAACCTTCAACTGCCAGAGGTTTTGATTTCCTTCCTTTTTTGGTCGGAGGAGGATGTGCTTGTTGTTAGAAACGGAACAAAAAATTATATAGGTTAGCACTAGCCTTCGCATCCCTATCCCAATTGGAACTCGGGCTATATACTCGGGCATCCAGAGAGTGAAAAAAAGAGAGACGCGTGCGAAGCGCAGAGAAAACGAGGAAATGTGGGCCGTGTTTGGGGGCATGCAAATGTGAGGCGACTGCCCACGCAACACCCACTTTCCTGCCGCCAACAACAATGTTGCCAAAGAAAAGGAAATATTTTTGAGTGGATTCTTTGGGAAAAATATAGACACTAAAATAATAAAGTAATTTATTCGGATTTTAAAAGATGTGTTTATTTCCATCGGTTTGTCGTATGGTATATATAAACACAACTAAAATTCCTACTTTTACGATAACATTTTACTTAATCAATTAACAGCTGCAGCTAATCGCCAAGTTTTGAAATAAAAATACATTTCTTAATTGTTATTCCCTACATGAAGAATGACTAGACCCCCGAAAATGATGAAACCAATGTTAAAAATAATTCTTAAAAGAACGTCCATCACTTCCATAAAATTTGTGTACCGGAATGTCGCATTGTTATTGTCTTACGAAAAGCAAATTAAATTACATTTACTTAACGTTATCAATTTAATGAGGCAAGTTGGGAATTCCCTTTTGGGGGTTGCTTAAATCGGCCAACAAAGTTGGCATGCCCCAAACTCCACGAGTAGAAGGGTAGGCGGAAAATCAAAGCCACTTTTTTCGCTCTTAAGTGCAAAAATCAAACACAAGCAACCCCCCGAAGCGGCAGCGCTCTCTCTTCGATTTCGCTCTCAAATCCCTCCCCCGATATTCCGCTATATCTCAGGCTCTCATCACTGCTCTTCGTGTGCATTATTTATTGCTCTTATACAGCCCGAATGTTTGACGATGACGAAGGTGCTCCACTGTCAGTGTCACCACCCCCTCCTGCAATTCCCTCTCTCTCTTTCGCCACCTCTCCCTTTCTCTCTTTCGGCTTGGGCCCAGTTAACTAGTAAACCAGCAACCTATAATGGAGCCTCTTCCGTGTTGTTATCCCTATCCCCCATATTCCCCACAGAGAGAAAAAATCATCAGCCATTAGTCATGAATTCGCAATGGTTATGATGTAATGATGGATTATCTAGGGAGATGTTTTCTATTTTATTTTACGTTGCTTAGAAAAATGACTTTGGGGTTTACAATGCACACCTCAATTTGTTTTCTTGTGGATTTACTAAAAGTTGTTTTGGTATCGCAGGGTATCTGTCCGATAAAGAATTTAAATTTGATTTTATGCTTTTGTTTAAATCACACCATAAAAGGCAAAAATTATCTCTGAAACTGAAGTATTTAAGATAAGATTAAATCATACAAATAAATAAAGATAAGTTTAACTATAAAACTAGTTAAAAATAAAAACTTGGTACTTATTCTTCCGAAATTTGCCTATGTGCATTTTTTTTCTTGTGTATCTTCCCAATTCTATCCTTTTTTCGCATCCCGGAAAATGAGCACCAGCTGTCTACCATTCTCTGCCAATTTCTCCCCCTTTTGTGTTGTTTGTTTTGTTTTGCGCCTGGCTGTATAATAAATAACTTTGAAATAAATCAAATCGGGTCCTTGCGCGATGGACACATGTTAAATGGACCGGGAAATGTGAGCGGGGGCATCTCCATATTTTTTATTGGTTCAAAATCAACAAGAGCAGCGACGGCGGCGACCTTAAAACGCATTAGCAGCCGCTGTCGGCCAAGTCGTAATAATTTTATTAGTAAACATCAGAAATATAAAAAATGCCGCTGGCCAGAGGCAAAAGAAGCAGACATAAAAGTGGCTACAATTTCGAAAGGTGTTGGCTTTTTCAGAAGTTCAAATCCAAACACGAGTGGGGTAGGGGGAGGCGGTGCCAGGGGCAGGGGCGCTGTGACAAGTGCAGGCGTGCTCAAGGTAAAAGCGCCACAGTCGCCGTCGCTGTCGACGTTAGCAGCGCTGCCCCTGCACCTCTGCCGCTATCCGAGTGCAAGATCAAGTGAAGCGAGTGGCCGAAAAACTAGAGAGGCAACTACGACTAAAAAGAGCGAGCCATTTACCTTTAAAAATAAAAGCTATCGACTATGAGATATTTAGTAGAAGTTTTAAAGTTTATAGAAATCGTATTTTACTAAAACTTGGGGAAATGGGCATTTATTACATAAAGTAATAAGAATTACAGGTATTCACATATTTTTTTTTGTGTTTATATTTTGTAATACTCTTTTCGAAAGAATATTTATAGCCAAGTTTGGAACTGGGTATTTAAGTTGCCCGCGCGGGTGACAGACATTTCCTCCCACCCCACCACCGTCGCCCTCTCGCTCGCACGCCAATGCATTGGTATTGGTTTGTTTTTAGGCATTCTGGAGGCGATGCTGTTTAGGCCACTTTTAAGTCAAGTGGCAGAGCAGCGACGCCGACTGAAGCAGTGACTGCGGCAGAGGCAGCTGCGACTAGATAAAAAGAACAAATTGACTAAGCACGAAACACGTTTTAGCCAGAGTTTTTAGCCAGACTAGCAGAGCTCGAATCGGAATCGGAATTGGAATCGGTGGGAGCGGGACGGCAAATGACACACTGACCCAATTCCGGGTTTCGATTTTCTGGTTTTTCTTAAGAATACACGTTTTCCGCTGCATAAACACACACACGTGCACACACACTCACACGCATACGAAAGAGGGAGAGCGGCAAAACGAGTTGCATGGCCAAGAATTTTCGCCTGGCATTTTTCATTTTCCCTGCGAGTGACATTCCCCCACCGAAGCCCCACGCAAGCCCCTCTCTACTACTTGGGGGGAAAAACTCACCGTTAGTCGCGTCCTCCGTAGAGATTTCCTATTGGCTCCGATACGTTATTATTCTCAGGCTGCGTTACGTTTCGTTTTACGTGGAGAGACAGTTAACAGTTGCAATTCTTCGGATGCTATTACGTATCAGCTATATCTTCGCATATCATATATATCTTCTATATAAATATGTTATTCAATCTCGGATGCGTGGCTTAAACGGACGCTGAACAAGAACAAGATGACCAAAGACGATGGGACGAACTGTGGTTGATTTTACTTTGATATTCTCTTGGTTTTGATGTATTTTTTTATTTTTTCTTTTTTTTTTCGATATTTTGGTGGTGTTTGGTTTGTATTTGTTGTTGTGTTCCGATTTATATGAAATTATACTATTTTACTTTTGCACTAGAGAACTTACTTCCTACGAATCACAATTAGAAATGAGTGTGAGGCGAAGACCGAAAGGAAAAACTCCCGTCAAAGTGAAAAACTACGCGCCGTCTACTTGGGCAGCCGAAAAGGAAAACACACATCAACACACATGTGTTTTATTCCGATTTTATTTTGGGTGCCAAGGAAAGTGCAGCGCGGTTGGCGGGGGGTTTCCAAGGAAAATCCAAGCCAAGAAAACTCCCTCCAATATTTATACCGTTTTGCGATATATATTCTACAACTCGTGACGTAACGCGACGGCGACTGGTGGGACTGAGCGGAAAAACTCGGCTACGGCGCGTAACTTTCGGTAACTCTGGTCTGGTGGAAATGCGGCGCACGAATTTCACGCATTTCCCTTTTCAAAAAAGAGCAACGAGCGCTGCGCGAGCGAGACGGACGATGGCGAACAGCTGTTCGACACCAGAAAAAATACCAGAATAACGCGTCAATGTCGCCAGTGTGACCTTGTTGTGCGCAATTTGGCCATCTTATTGATTTTCCACTTGTTGCTGCCGATCCGATTTTCCCGCAGAGAATAAAAAGCTATTAGCCGAAGCTGAAGCTTTAACTTGACTTAAAATTTATTCTCTCGATTGTTTTATTACCGGTAGAACTGGTCTCTCGGCGCGGTTAAAAACCCCAGCTGCGTTCAAAGCTCCCTCTTGTTTTTGACTCACCGAAGTCGAAAATCTCGTGTTTCTTCGAAATTAGTTGAATTCAAGCTTCAAAACTGGCAGCACGCATCATGTCCGCAGGTCGAGTGGTTATTTACGGCGGCAAGGGAGCCTTGGGGTCGGCCTGTGTCGATCACTTCAAAGCCAACAATTATGTGAGTTTCCTTTCACTTACAAGTAATTATCAAAGTGCCTTATTAACTATTGTTTTCTCTCTGGGTCGACCTTCACCTGGATAATTCCGTCCAGTGGGTGGGCAGCATTGATTTGTCGGAGAACGAGAAGGCCGATGTGAGTATCGTGGTGCCACGCGATGCTGCATGGTCGGATCAGGAGAACACGGTGGTTTCCAAGGTGGGAGAATCCCTCGCCGGCGAGAAACTGGATGCCGTGATCTGCGTGGCTGGCGGTTGGGCAGGAGGCAATGCCAAAAAGGATCTGGCCAAGAACGCCGATCTCATGTGGAAGCAGAGCGTTTGGACCTCGGCCATTTCCGCAGCTGTGGCGGCCCAGCATCTCAAGGAGGGAGGACTCCTGGCCCTCACTGGTGCCAAGCCCGCTCTGGAGGGCACTCCCGGCATGATCGGCTACGGAATGGCCAAGGCAGCCGTCCATCAGCTCACCCGATCGCTGGGCGCTGAGAAGTCCGGTCTGCCAGCTGGTTCCCTGGCCGTCTCCATCCTTCCCGTAACGCTAGACACACCTATGAACCGGAAATGGATGCCGGATGCGGACTTTGGCACCTGGACTTCTCTCTCGGAGGTGGCTGGACTTTTCCACAAGTGGACTCAGGGTCAGGAGAGGCCCAAAACGGGATCCCTTCTGCAGCTGATCACCAAGAATGGCGTGACAGATCTCATAGCCGCTGAATAGGCTTAAAGATACAAATACGAATCCAAAACACTTACTAAAGGAACAAAATGCTCAACTAAATGCTTTCGCTTGTACATAAACTATTCATAAATAAATCGCTGGGCGGCTTTCGATCGTTTAATGTGGGTCTGTTTACAGGGTCTTGGGGGTTCTGGGGATAACCTCTTGAACTCGGGAGCGGAACGATCGCTTTAAGCTTGCTTAGAGTACAATCTTTAGTTTGATTTGTTTGGAGACAGCCATTACGTCTTCTTCTTCTTCATTATCTTCATGAACAACACCATACCTGCAAATTAAAAGGGGAACAAACTCATTAGTGTGATTAATCAACTGCAGCAAGTCGATCTAATTATAACAACTCAATTTTAACTGAGTCATGGAAAACTTGTTTACTTGTGGTAAATTGAGTAACTCGGGTTATGTTTAAGATATTGGAAAACTTGTGTGCATTAAAACTAAATTTATTCCAACCAACAAGGTATTCAGAAGCCAAACTTAGTTTGATTTACTTTTAGCCAACTTAGGGGAATTCTTTTATCATCTGGGTTTTACCTTAACGAAATGACTCACCTATAAAAGTGACAATAACAAAGACAATCATCAGCCAGAGCCAGCACTTGTAGGCTTTTTTTCGAATGCTGCTCCAGTTTCTCAGCCTCTTTTCCTAGGGAATTAATATTGCGATCCGCCATTCCGGCAGAGCGGGACACAATCTCCGTATCCCTGCGGATAATCTTGTTAGCAGTCTCTGTCTGCTCCTTCAGATTCCTTGTCAGCGACAGCATGTGCTCTGTGATCTTTTCCTGAGCATTCGTATAATACTTGGCAGCCTCATTCATATTTTCGCCAGATGTTCCCTGTACGCTAGCTCCACCGGGACTAGATGGGGAGTCCTCCACACCTCGACGTCTTCGCAGGGCATCGCCATCTAAAAATATGGATTATTATTAATATAGGAAAATTGAATTGAAAATACATTTTAATAAATTCATTGCAAAACTAGAGAAATCGCCCTATGAACCCAAGATTACCCTGCAAAAGTTCTTTCCGCAGTTCGTTGTGATGTTTGGTGTTCTGCAGCTGTCTCATTTCTTTCAGTGCATTTTCCCCAGCTTCGCTGACGGTTGAAGATTGCGAGGGAGAATTTGTTGTGGAACTGGCGGTTTCCGCGAATCCCGTAGATATTTTTAGGGCCTTCAGACGCTCCGTATAGCCGGGAATCCGGGTGGCACTCTGCGGATCGTCCATTGCCTCCAGTTCTGCGAGCATCGTGTCCAGCGACTTGATGAACTTCTGCAGCCGCCAGAAGTTCTCCTCATTTTTGGCCAGGTCCTCGCAGTTGGTCAGCAGGGTCCGAATATTTACATTTAGCTTCGTGGCCATTTTCAAGGGAAAAACATGAAAACAACAAAGTCAAACCCTAAATTAATCAAAATACCAAAGAAATATGGTCACATCTGGTGTTGGATTGGAATCTATCGATATATCGTAGCAGCGCTGACAACATTAATAGAGGGGCTTTAACTGAATTTAAAATAATTTAGCCTTTTTTGTTCCCATGCTTAAAAAATTTAGTTTCAATTTTTTTATTTTTAGCACCAAAACGTGAGAGTTTTTTTTTATTAATAATCAGTAAATACAACCTCATCGACTTTCAATAAAAATTATGAAGATTAAGTTGCAATTTTACTTGAACAATAAAAAAAGCGAAATCAGCAGCACCGTTAGTATTTAAATAAAAAGTCCCTTGGAGATACTACAACTACTATTACTATAAGGCATACTTTTGGGCGCGAACACAAAAATCTTATCAAAAGTCTCCAGCAATATCAATAGTTATCAATTAACCCGCTTTTGATAGCCACAGCATATGTGTATTACCATGCGAGCGCATTTTCTGAAGCAGTCGTCGCACGCCATGTGTGAGGAATATAGTGAAATCGCATTCAAGGTAGAATTTTCTTTAGTTTTTTTTTATTATACCCCTGAAGTGCCGTTACACTTGAAGTGTTATCAAGCAGCTGACGAGGCAAAAACAAAAAACCCACCCCATGTGTTACCGTTTTGTTAACGGCACTTCAGGCCATGAATGAAACGCGGCTACCTTCTCTCTCTCTCTCTCTGTCTCTCCCGGACTTTCTCTCGCCGCTCGCTGTGGCTCTCTCTTCCTGCGCAGCAGCAGCGCAGCAGCAGTTAACGGTGCATGTGAAAAAGTCCCCACCACAAACGTCGTGAAAGTCGAAATCGATAAGTAAGCAACGGATTTTAGCTGCCGAGAAAAGTCCAATAATTTCAGTGAAAAACCCAGCGATAAGACCCCAAAAAAGTACTAATCCAGCTGAAAAACAACAACCCAATCCGGCCATGTCCAAAAAAAGTGTTAGCCAAGTGTTTTGAATACCGTAGTTTGATGGAAAATAAGCTAGTCTGGGGTCTGAGAAATCGATACGATACCCAAAAACGGGGGCTGCTGCGTGGGCTGCTCCAGTAAAAAGTTTCAGCCTAAAAATAGAAGCAAATACAGCTCGACGAAAACTTTCGGTTTCCCTAAAGTTTCTGTGCCAGTTTTCATTGCATTTTCGTTACATAAGTTTTGAGAAACGTTGCTGCGTAGCGAATCTATTAACGGCTTAAGAACCCATCAACCCCCCACATATTCCACCCATTTACAGAGACAAAAAAAAACATAGGAATATACTATCGATATATTTTTATAGAAAAAAAAAACATTATTTAAAGTATCCAATCTACTGATATTGCTAATGATTTTTAAATTGTAAAAGTAGATTTAGTTCCCAATCGTATTATTAATAAAATATTCATTTATCATAACCCCTCTCATAAAATCACAATACTTTTTACAGTTGCTAGAGGTAATGTAACGCCATTTAATCGGAGCTCGAACAGAAAAACCAAATCGTAGTGTAAACCAATTGCCATAACAAAAGCCCCATGATGCAGCCGCCGCCGCGAAAGGTAAAGCCAGAACTTGTTCTAAGTAATAGTCCTTGGTTACTTATTAATCATACGCCCCGTGGTTCACAGGGTAACTATGTGAAATTCCTCAAGAATTTGCACACGGAGCAGGTGGCCAAGCTGCAGCTGAAGAACCAGCATGAGTGCGACCTGTTGGAGGACATTCGGCAGTTTACCATCAAGCGGTCGGCTGTCGAGAAGTCGTACAGTGAGTCCCTGCTCAAGATCTCATCGCAGTATCTCAACAAGAAGATACCCAATATACCAGATATTAAGATGGACGGCATGGAGGAGCGCTGGTGGGTTTTTATTTTCTATTTAAATACTTCAACCATGCTAATCAAATTTAATTTTTTTTAGGAACATGTGGAGTGTTTGGCGCACAGTTCTCGAGGAGAATGAAAAGCTGGCTCGAGCTCGATTGGCCGCCATCGAGGTTTTCCAACAGCAGATCGCCGATGAGGCCAAAGTCCTTCGGGATTATAAGTTGGCTATAGCCAAGCGATCGCTATCCGGAATTGTCAACGTGCAGAAGGAACTCCACTTGAGCGTGGGTGATGTGGACAAAACCAAGAAGTCATACTTTGACGAGGAGCACTGTGCTCACGATGTGCGGGACAAGGCCCGCGATATCGAGGAGAAGCTGAAGAAAAAGAAGGGCTCCTTTTTTCAGTCGATCACTTCGCTGCAGAAGAACAGCGCCCGAGTCACGTCTCGCAAGGAGTTGCTGGAGGAGAAGTCCTCTGGAGCCCGGAATGACTATGTACTCAGCTTGGCCGCCGCCAATGCCCATCAGAATCGATACTTCACCGTCGATTTGCAGACCACGATGACCACCATGGAGAACTACGTTTTCGAGAGGGTCGCCGAGTACCTGATGCTAATGGGGTAAGTTTAAAGTATTTGCTGATGTGGAGGAAGAATTATAAACATTATTCTTTTGAAGAAATAGTAGTAGTAGTAGAAAACAAGTACATATTTGTAATTCCAAAGATTACTTTGGGGTCATTTTATTTTTTTTCAAAGCAGGTTATCGATGTATCAAGCCATATCTTATGTATCAATGGTCTTGTACGCAATTACATTTAGATATAATATTCGTCGCCAATGGAATTATATTTACATTATTTCTATAAGCCATCTCATTGTTATGTGAAGGCTGAAATTCTTCTTTTTATCAGTTTGTTTTATCATAACTTTTTGGAAGTAAGTGATTTAGAAATACCTTAGATTATGTCATACTTTAATTTGTAACGTTTGGTTAAGTCAGATTGTGGTAAAAACAAGAAAAAAACTATGGCGGATAAACTGTAATTGTAAAAAAATACTCTTAATTATTAAATTACTCTTCTATATTTTTTATTTCTATATAATTTCTATAATATATATATATTATTTACATAAGCTTTTATTTTATATCTTTTTGTGAAATTAAAACACAATTTAAATCCAATCGCTCTTTTTTTAGACGCACAGAGCTGCTGACCTGCTCGGCCACGCAGAACAGCTTCGGGAAAATCCGCGACCAGGCGCAGCAGCTGACCCGGGAGTACAACCTGCAGTGCTGCTACCTGTTCTACCCGGTGCTCAAGCAGCACATCCAGTACGACTTCGAGGCATGCGACAACGATCCGGTGCGCAAGGTGACCGCGGAGCACGAGTCCGCCGCCGAGACGCTGACCAAGGAGGCCAAGAACTTGGCCGGCAGAGTGGTGAAGGAGAACGCCTCGATCCGGGAGAACGCCAAGAAGCTGGCCCTGTGCCAATCGCTGCGAGACTCTGGCCAGCGCACCGATCCCAACGATCCCAATGGACCCGATCTGGACACCAAGATCGAGGAGTTTCGCGATCAAATCAGGAGATCGGAGACGGAGAAGACCAAGGCGGAGGCCTGTCTGCAGTGTCTGCGGGACGGAGGCATCAATGTGGACGAATGGGTCCAGGAGGCCGAGATCATGGGTGTGCAGGAGCTCACGCGCTCTGCCAGCTCCATTTCGATGCGCACCGATGCCTCTGGCCAGGGCGAGAATCCCAGCTCGGACTCCTTCTACGACAGCGACAAGGAGGAGACCCAGACCCAGACGGCTGCCCAGGCGAAGCCCAAACAGGAGCAGCAACTGTCCAGGGATCGCACCTTCAGCGACAGTGACGAAGAGCCAGAAGTTCGTCCCACGGCGGCGGCAGCTTCCACTGCAGCTGCTGCCGCCTCCTCGTCCATGATGGCCAGCGGCGGAGGTGGCTGGGATGATCCCACTGAGGTCAACTGGGGTGCTGCCGAGGAGGAGGAGGACAAGGACGAACCGATCGTTCCGGAGCCCAAGGAGGCCATCTTTAAGTGCACTGCGCTCTACAGCTATACGGTAAGAAAAACTTAATGGGAATGCCACAATCTCTAGGGATTTAAAAACCTTCTAGAACCTGAAGAAGTTTCTTAAACAACTTAGAATTTATTATGGATTTTAATTCATTTAGTTCTCAGAATTTAAAGTACATCGAAGAGCATTTTTCTGAAGTAGATTTTAATTCTCTAGAGGTTTTTAATGGAAACTCTTGTCTTATTTATTGATGACAAAAATGTGTGCTTATGTGCTTGTTATTATTATTCCCTTACAGGCCCAGAATCCCGACGAGCTCACCATCGTTGAGAACGAGCAACTCGAAGTGGTTGGCGAGGGAGACGGCGACGGGTGGTTGAGGGCCCGCAACTATCGCGGCGAGGAGGGCTACGTGCCACACAACTATCTGGACATCGATCAGGAGACAGCGAGCAGCGCCTTTAATGGTACTTCCGGCAATCAATTGCGCTCACAAATCTCATTCTCATCTGTCGATTATACCGTTGACAATGAAGATCAGACGGTGGACTCGATGCAATCGCCCGACCAGGTGTCGGTCATAATGGCGCCCCAGAAGCGGGTCAAGTCGGATGTGGAGTGGTGCATTGCGCTCTACGACTACGATGCCACCGCCGAGGATGAGCTGACCTTCGAGGAGGGCGACAAGATCAAGATCATCACCAAGACCGCCCACGGCGTGGACGATGGCTGGTGGGAGGGCGAGCTGGACGGCAAGTTCGGCAACTTCCCCTCGCTGGTCGTCGAGGAGTGCGACGAGTTGGGCGAGCCGCTCAGCGAGGGCGGCGACGAATCGCCCCCGCCCACCGCGGCGCCCACATTTGCACTGCCCCCCGCTCCGGCCCTGCCGCCAGAGTACGCCCACGAGCTGGAACTGGAGCTCACGGAGGATATGTTCGGCTCCCAGGACACAGCAGGTAAATCGACCCTTAGATCCACCTTTCCCACTACCCCTTAAAAAAATAAGAACACATAAGATAATAGTGAGTTTAAAGTATATTAGCGGGATATCTATTACTTTTATTTTCTAACAAGATTTATTTGATCTTGAATCATGAAATATCAAAATATGATACTATATATTTTCCTGGGTATTAGTCTAAATCCTTCTGGTTTTCAACAGATGATTTTCTAGATTATTATCTATGATATGATATATGATTTTCTAGATTATTAAAAAGATTTATTTGATCTTATTTGTTAGTTTGGGTATTTATCAGTTCATGATCAATCAAGATTAATCAATTCCCTCCCTGTATTTAACAGATGAGGATAGCGGCTATATACCTAACGGCGCTGCTGCACCGAGTATGCCTCCGCCAGGTAAATGTCACGCCCCCTTTTCACCACCTGCTCTTTTGTTTCCCCTCTCTATATCTCTTTATACTATACAATATCTGTCACTCGATATCGATTCCTCTAGTACCGAACATTTGTATAATTTTTAACTTTCCACTATCAAATCCAAAAAAAAAAAAAAAAAGAAAACTATATATTTCCGATCAAAAGTACTGTTATACCTGCTTCTATATTCTCTAGAGGTAAACCTAATCTCCAAAGTGCAGCTCGTCTAACTACTAACCACTTGTACCACTACTACCACCACCAATCCACCAAAAAAAAAAACACCAATTACCACCATCTATCACTGTAACTACTCTCCACTACTCTCCGTTAATGTGCTATTTTGTCTCTCGTCTCCAAAAGTCTCCGCAAGTCTCAGCAACCGAGACGAAATCGACCGATGAAATGCCCTACGATTTTTTACAGTGTTATTCTTAGGCTGCTTGTCAAAAAAAAAAAAAAAAAAAAGTGTCGTGTCGTGTTACCATTATTTCTCCATCTTCGATTTATTTCTTTTGCAGCTTCTCTTTATCCCTAAAAATAAAAAGATATATCTTTGATGTGTGTGTGGCACTGATATTTGAATTTGATTGCATTAAAAGCTTTGATTGGTTATTCATTTTTCTAAACATCACGTTTTTCTTTCATTGCCGTTTTGCATTGGTTGTTTTTCTCTCGGTGTAATTGTGTCTTTGTGTCATTTAAGGCCAGAACCAAAGCCAAACCACTGCCAAGAAGGGTAATTTAATAAGTTTGCTCTTTTATATAAAGTATCTATTCCCCGAGTTTTTCTTGAATCAGTAACTTTAGTGTAGGAAAATCTTTTTCAACTCCACTATTTGAGAGCATGACTAAAATTCCTCCTAAACTCTGTTAAACTTATGAACCAAGTTCTTCTTCTTGATAACTAGAAACTATATATACATGTTCAGTATGAGGTTATTTTCCTAACTATTTATAAATATTTCCAAAAGTCTACAATTTGTAGAGCAAATCTTCTTTACAATATGAAAAGGCCCGTTCTATGTATATATTATGTATATATAAAACCCGATCAGATTCCATCAGTAGTTCAGTAGTAATCATACTGAATTTGGAAGCCTTATATATAAAATTCCCTAGATTTCTACCCCTCTCCCGCATGTTTGTCAGCCTCAAATCCGAATAAGTATTCCACAAAATTGTACTTTTGCTTAATTTTGAGTTTGTTTATTTATAAAACCAAAACCTAAACGTGTAATTAGATAGTTTTTGTTCCAAGGCTGTTTTGACTTGATCCTTGATATTTTGAGTTACTCCTCACCGCTCTATAACATTTTGAAAGATAAATTGTATTGATATAAGATATATAATTTCAAAAATTGTTACTGTTGACTAAGCCAATAAATATTTTCTCATTTATTTTTAACGCATACTCAGTACTCATCCAAGAGCCTGGCATGGAGGTAAACTAATAACAAATTTATTATAGTAACTTACTTATTATTTTCCTGAAAAAGAAAAAAAATATATTAACAACAACATTAATGAAGGCAGGGAATAGTTTATCTGTAATTCTGTTTTAAAAGGTGATTAAAAGGCAGAAAAATAATTTAAAAACTAAAAAACAATTCACTGATTGGAATTACAATTTAATCAGAACCTTACGAATTACAGAAAATAAAAATATTATATATTCCAATGTATAAAATCTACAACGAATTCCTAGAATTTTGAAGATGTACATATTTGTTGTAAATACGAATACTCTTTACCAACCATTTTTACACTCTTTGACACATTTTTGGTTTTTGTTAAAAATCCATAGATATTTTATTTAGATACATAAACTAATTTGATTGTTTTTCGCTTTCCAGGACGATCTCAGTGACGATGGGCAGCCGCCGCCGTCCTTGCCGCCGCCCCAACTACCGAAGGTCGGCGGACCGGGGTCGGGGAGCAAGGCCGAAAAGGGGGCGGCGGGTGGCGGCGCCAACACGCTGAACTTAGGTATGGCACAAATAATTGTTACCGCTGCAACCCCCATGGTTGAAGACGGTGCCGATAAATCTTTCCCACCAGTAGGCGAGGGCGATGCGCAGCCGGAGGAGCAGTCGACCACAAAGGAGCAGCAGCAGCAGCAGCAGCAGCAGCAGCCATCGGCGGATGTGGCCAAAAAGCCAGACATTGCGCCCAAGCCGCAGGGCAAGGTGGTGGCGCCTCAGGCTGCGGCAACCAAAGAAGGTAAAGCTGAGGGAGCTGAAGGAGTGAAGCCCGTGGTGAGCATTACACTGACCGAGTATCCATCCTGTGATGCAGAGGACCAGCAGTCCTTCTCGGAGGACTCAGCCTCGGTGGGCGATGTGCCCGCTCTGCAGGATGCCGAGGATCCGTTCAACGAGAAATCCAAGGATTCCAACGGCGGCGGCGGCGGATCGGGATTTGAGGCCAATTTCGAGGCCAACTTTGATGCCAACTTTGATGACGCGTTCGCGGGAAGCGGCGGATCCGGCGGCGGAGGAGGTGGCGGTGGAGGTGGGGGCGGTGGGGAGCAGTCCAGCGATCTGGATGTTAACGGCGAGGCAGTTGGAGAACCGGGAACGGGATCAGGATCGGCGGAGGATATCGAGGCACCCAAACAGGTGGTCGGTGGGCGAGCCAGCATACCGGAGGAATTGGACTCAAATCAATTGGCACGTTTGCAAAATCTGAAGGAGTCGAACGCTTAGATTCGGCGCTCCGGTCTAATCCTCTTGGTCGGCACTTCAATGTTGTTCTCTTCTTTTGTTCTTTTAGGCACACGACCATGAGCATGATATATACTATATAGACTATAGCCACGGACAGTTATAGAGTGCGGATCAGTGCGGAACAACACCACAGCGACAGCCACAATTACAATCACAACCAGACCCCACAACACTATGAATGCATTCTGATCTCACACCCACCACCATCCCACAACCTATCCAACAACTCCAAACACACAGATGATATAGCCAGACTCGGACGGACTGGGAACTTATCGATCTTATCGATAACTTATCGGTTAACTTCGTTTTCAGCCCAAAGTAAATATAGTAGTTTATTTTGGCTACCACCCGATTCACATACAACGACACAATAGCAGGATATAGAATATATGTACTTATATATAGTATATCAGGTCGGGATTTCCCCTCAACCTCAAACACTTCACGTACAGCGCTCAAATTGTGTACATCCATTTGAATACTTCTTCTGACTGCCTCTGGGGTTATAGTTAGACATCAACTGGGCCTTCATAAACAAAACCACCATACGATATATTACTATTTAAATATATACATAATTATGTTAGTTTGTAAAGTGTTATACCCTCAGACACGTATGGAATACATTGATATATTATATTATAAATGGAATATTGTAACGTTTTGAAAGACAATTACTTATGTAGCACTCAGACACGGGTCTTCGAATATCAGCATCCACAACTAATCGAGCAATAATATGTATATATATCTAAGTGAACTAGAGAATCCGGTTTAGCAGCATTAAGTTAGCCATTCGCTTCGATTTTTCGCCAACAAAAGCCAATCAACTTTAAAGTCAATTCACCTCGTTTTTTGTTGTTCGCTTCTGTTCGCTTTACTTAGTCCTAGGATCTCTGCACATTATAGTAAATCAATCAAGGCCGCAAATGAATGTATTCGAATCGTAGGAGCGGATCCGGCAGATATATATTGTTGTAATTGTATGCAAAACTCTAGCCTAATTAGTTAAATGTTTTCCGTGTCTAGTTAAATGGTCTAAGTTAATGTTGGATGCCAGAAAGAAGATATTTGAAGTTAGTAAAAAGCCTACTCAACGCGAGACTTTGTTTGCGATACTCGAATATTAAAGTTCATAACTCACCAATTGGATAACCTCATATTCACATAACCGATATTACCGAACATAGATACAAATGGAAAATGGAAAAACCAAATATATGTAAGCTGCAAACTGAATTGTATGTAATTTTTGAACCCAGTGAGTTAATCAAAGTTTTATGTCATAGTTTTGAGAAACCTTCTGTTCGAACAACTAACAAATAAAATTTCCACTTTAAAGCAAGAAACAAATAAAATCTTTTTATTGGGAGTCAGTGAAACACGTTTGGTTGTAATTTTTTTACATATCTTTATTTATATTCACTTCATTGCAATATTATAATATTCCATCTTGGTTTGCATTTTTTTCTCTTGGATGTTTTTAGTTTTAGTATTTAACTTAATAATATAGGTTCCTTCTTGGGTTTTATCATTTACTTTCTTGTAACATTCATCTCTTATTATTTTCCCTTTTAATTATTTTGTTATGTGTGTGTTTATTTTTTATATGCTATAGATAATTATTCTCATTTCAGTTTTTTTTTTCTTTTTGTATTTTCAATTTTGTTTTTCATTTTATATAACGAAATTAACACAGTCAAAATTTGTGATCAGTGATCAATCATTACATACGCATTACGTTTTAAATTATTCCTCTTGGTTTCGCCTCCTTCGCGAGGCTCCTCAAACATATGCTTGCTTATATACTTATGTGGGTGTTACTTTTCTTTTGGATCTCTGAGGGTGATGGGTTGAGCAACCGAAAATCTGAGGGGGGAGGGGCGGAAATAATCGTCTCAGGGGGCTGTGGTGGAACCAATAATTGACAGCAGACCAATGTGAACTTCAGGGGATAAGAACGGATTGCAGGCCGGCTGGCTGGTAATCATAAAACATGTTCATTTATTGCATTTAGGAACTCTTTTTGATGGACGGATAAAACCAAAAATTATATAGACACACTCCTCCTTGGTCAGCTCTTAAAAGCTGCTGCTGCTTGATGATTGAACTTGAACTTGGTAAGTTGATGGCTGACAAATCATACACACATATATATTTCAGTAGCCTGGGCCTGCGGGGAGGTGTTTTCTTTTTTTTTTTGGAAGAAATAGGATTAATGGGGGTGCTGGGATTCCCTAATCTTAAAATGTAATAACAAATTTTATTTTTATTTGCTTGAGCAAAGGGTTCAACGGATAATGATTGGGGGTTATGCTCCAAAATGAATGCTTCATTATAATAACAAACTGAGAGTATGCAACGTACAACCGTAAGTGTGTGTGTGTATATGTGTGTGTGGTGTGTGATTAGTGTGTTTTATCATTCTAACAATTCATGGTTCAATCAATATTTCGTCTTGCTGCCTAGGGTTATAGACTATTTCTCAATAATAATATTCACTTGCATTAACTTTGAATTCATTTAAAAAATGTTTTTATTTACGTTTTCGGTGCATTCTGCATGAACTGGGATCCGGTTTTGATCAGTGTAGCTGTTTCTGTATCTGTATCTGTTTCTGTTTCTGTTTCTGTTTCTGTTTCTGTATCTGCATCTGTGTATTGTGTGGTTCAACTTATTCGCTAGGTTTCTCAACTTTTTGGTTTGCTTATCTAAATACTTTAGAATTTCATTTTTGGTTTTGCTTGTTTTTGAGACCACCATACATATATAATATATAATTAAATATACATCATATACATACATACGTAATTATTACATCGCATCACGTATATATCGATCCTCATATAGATTTACTTATTTATGGTATTTCTCCCTTTCGGTTGCTTTATAAAACGTTGGTGTTGGTGTCGCCGTCTAAACAGCGACACCAAAAATGCTTCAAACATTTCATTGTGTGTATAATTTAACATTTTACATATTTTCATCGTTTTTTTTGTAATTCTCCTTCATCATTGTTTTTGTTGTTGTCCTAAATGCTCTCGCATACGCAGCACGTACATATGCATTTTCATCGTCTTGCGTCGTTAATTTGTTTTATAAAAAAGTCCTCAACTATGGGCAACTAAATTTTTGTTTTCTGTTTTTCGTCTTCCACAAATTATATCGTAAACTAGGTTGTAGAGTAAAAAATTCCATATGAAAAATTAAACGCATCAATTTGCCATTAAGTGTTTTTTTCTCTTAAAATGTTTCTCAACTATTTCGCCTTTGCATTGTTTACAACTAAAATGGTTTTTTCATTAATTTACGTTCTTTGGAAATACGCTCCGAAACCGTTGAGCAGCTATTTGTTGTTGTTGTTGTTGTTGTTCTCGCATCAAAAATTATTTGACCTCATTTAGGGGGATATTTATTATATATGTTGCATTTATACGAATGAACCTCAGCCATTTGTAAACATTTTGATTTCTGTCCTCGGTAACATAATTGATTTCTGACCTTTTGTATAGCTACAAAATATATCTATATATGTTTGTGTGTGTGTGTGTGTTTTTATATATAAGCAGATATATATATTATTTATGTTCTTTATCACCGATTTCACTATTATGTTGCCGAGCCTCGGGTCATAACTATTTTCTTGGGGAATGTTTTGTATGGCTGGTAGATCAATTGCATTTTGCCTCAAATCCGTTTCACTTGCCTCAATAAATTATAAATCAATTAGTTAATCAATAAATTTCTGGTAAACCTTATATTGCTTTCTTTTCGCTCAGATTCCTAGTTAAGATTTGGGATACTCCTTAGCCAACAGAAGGTATAAAATTGGTAAAGATTGGTAATGGATTATCCTTTAAACAGACAGACGATAGAAAGTGTGTGTGGCTAAAGGGTATCAAATAGTCGATTTCTCGACTCTCAGTTTTTAATTATTTCATCTTTTGCTTGTGTAGGTGTGTGTTTGTGTCTGTCTAGATCGTTAATAAAGTAATTTTCCTTGGGGTCTCTTCTGAAGTCGTTCTGCTGAATTGGTTAGGTAGTTAGTCCTTAAGAAGGATTTAAGGTTTCGTCTTAAGTATATCCAGAGTTGCATAGCTGATCCATTTTGGGTCACCACCATCGTCCTCCGTTCATCTCCACTGCCAGTGTTCCATTCATAAGTACTTTTCGTATATACAGTTAATTGGTTTTTCGTTTTTTGTTTTTGGTTTTTGGGTTACGGATTAGGGTTCAATTTGGTTTGGTTTACATATAAAAAACTCGTGCTACATATACGTAGGTGCCTAAATACGTTATATGAATATATATCTCATATACTTGTGTCGCCTTAAGCCATACTCTATATACATATACGTGTGGTAGTGTGTGTGTGTGTGTGGGTGTGTGTATGTGTTTTGGCCATATTATGGCGCGTAACTAAGTCCTAGCTTTAACTTTAGCTAACTGTACAAAATTCTTTAGCCTTACGATCTGCCCTTGCACTAATCATAAACACTAAATTAAAATTCATTGATGATATTTTGGTATGGCTTGCTTAGTTATCTCCATTGTGCTAAATTGTATTTTAATTTCTTTATTTTACGTTTAAAGTTAAACTCACTTGCCTTTAATTATGTGTTTATTAACTTAACTCTTTTGTTTCTTTCTCTTTGTGTCTGTGATTCATCGAGGAACTTGAGCGAAAATTCAAATATATATATATATGTATATATATATATTACGTCGAGTATCTGTGTCTTTCTGTCCGCGTGTGGGTGTGTGTATCTGTGTTTGTGTATCTCATTAGGCTAACTTAAGACGGTGCATCGTAAGTATCTTTTGTTTGTTTATCGCTTTATTGACTGCTTGAACGCATCCGAGTTAATCGCTTAACCAGAATCGATTACATTAACTAAGTTTAATTGCGAAGTTTTGCTCCTACTTTGCTTTGAGAATGTTCCGAGTGTCTTTTGTTTGTATTTACAAATTGAAATTCAATTGTCTTCGTTTAATTCTGTTTAGCAACTATTTGTTAGACTTATCCGCTAGTTTCTTAGGCAGTTTCATTCATACTTGTGTACTTTATGTTCTATGTTCTATTTGTATTCGTTTTTTTCCCTTTTTAATTTACTGGTATTTATTGGGCTTACTTGCGTTTGAAAATTTCACTTAGACCTTAGATTGATTTCTTACGGTGCCGCAAAGTTGTCTTCGAAAAGTTTTTGGTTTTTTTATTATTATTTCAGTTTGATTCTTGTGTTCGTGAGTGAGTGAGTGCAGTTTGAATAATTTGTTGTTAGTTTAAAGTTGATATAAAAATTGGTGTAACTAAAATGAATCGTTATCGATCTCATATTATTATTTCGCTATGTCAATTGCACTAACTATTTGTATGACTTATCTCCGATGCTTGCTTATAAAAGGTGCGCTCCAAAGTAATTCATAATATCCGTGTCGAGTTTATTGTGTGTGTTTTCTGTTTTTCCGTGTGATTTAAATGATTTAAAACCTCTCGATCTTACGTGTCTGCCTCGTTTTCGTTTTCGATTTACATTTAACATTAACTTAACGAAATCATTCGCCAAACTGATTCGCAATTATCGAAATTGTTCCTTTCACTACATTTTGATTTCTAATAAATTTGGCCATTTCACTTGGAAGCGCTAAGTCAGTTCTGAATAAACAAATCAACCAACTGAATGGGCAATCAATGGATCAATATAGTGAGTTTTGGTTAAGATCTGGATCGGTTTTGGTTTTTGGTTTTTTTTTTTTTTTTTTTTGGGAGCGTGCAGCTGAAAACGGGGAAACGTACTTAAATTAGAGGAAGACTCTCCGGGTGTTTTGCTTTTGAAGTGGGAAGCAAAGGTCTTTCGTTTCTTAAACTAAAACTGAAAACGCCGCAAAGATAATGGAATTGATTTAATTATCTATTACTTGGTGTGTTGAAATCAACTTTTCGACTGCGCTATTTCGAGGGTTCCTCACAGACATCCTTCGTTATTCGTTTAATGCCTATGTTGCGTATGATTTTTGATCGTTATATTTGTGGTTTCAATGGTTTTATTTTTCTTTTATCGGTTCGTAATTCTCCTTGCCCTTCGTTATATAATTTTCACTACAATTTGCTAATCTGTTGCTTTTGATTATTCTTCATTCATTTATACTCATTTGGTTGTTAATTCTAATGTTGGTTTTATTACTGTGTAAATCTATTTAACAATATTCTTTGCTTTCGACCGTGTAATATGTGTGTGTCCTTTCCGCCTTGGTATTAAACAATAAACTGTTGCCTCTGCATTTCATTCATATCGCTAGTTAAAATTAGTTTTGTTTCCGCTTATTCATCATCTGTGACTAGTTTTGTTTATTTTTTTTTTTCGGGATTTTTCCCTTTGTTTTTTTTTTTTTGTATTTCTTATTTTTTGTGTGGTTTTTCAGCGCCCTGCACAGTTTGACTCTCTCGTGCGCTGTTCACTCCTGTGTCCTTGGGCCACGCCCTCGAATCCCTGCGTCGTCGCTCAAGGAGGACGCCCTACTCCTCGCCGAGGAGCACCAGATCATCGGCGACCACGTCGCTGACATGCAGGTAGATGATCCAGTACATCAGGTTGAAGCAGACGAAGCACACGGGGAACACGATGCGCGAGTACTTGTCGATGTCGGAGGGCGTGATGCCCAGCAGCTTGTTGATGTCCTGTTTTCAAGGATAAGCGGTCAAGGATCAATGATAAAGGATCAAGGATGGTGAGGAAAAAAAAAAAAATATATTAATATCGCTTTGATCGGTTTCTATCAACCTTTTTGTAACCGCATCATGTACGATCTTTACCTTTACCTTTTTTACTTTGCCCGGATGCAGGAGATGGGCTGGCACCGCTGCCTCCGGATCGCCACCGCCCTCGGGCGGTCCGCCCCCACCGCCGCCGCCGCCGCCACCACCGCCGGGCGGTCCGCCGCCCTGTCCCGGACCTGGGCCGTGCGATTGCGGACCGCCGCGTCCGCCGTTCACCGTATTCTCCAGCGTGCCGCCCTTGGAATGGGCCTTCGGGTCGTGGACCTTGAATCTCACCTCCTGGAACAAGGGTCCCACTATCGAGCAACCGCGCGTACCAACGTTTTGTTGGATATTGGAAAAGCCGATTGGGCGGTTACTCACTGTTTGCTTCGGCGCATGCGGATGACCGTGGCTGTGGGCGTGGTGGCCATGTCCGTGTCCATGTTCCGGTCCCATGCCCATGCCCACGCCCATATTGACCCCGCCGCCGCCGACGCCGACGCCGCCGGGTCCGACCGGTCCGCCGCCCGGTCCGCCTACATTAACGCCGCCGGGTCCTCCGACGCCACCCACATTCGCATTGGGATTCGGATTCGCCTGCTGCTGGTTCGCTCCGTCGAGCTGTTGCTTTTTCTGCTCGGCTATCTTTTGGATCGCCATAAATCTTTGTTTTCGCATTTGAATTCGTTTTGCCATGTAGCCGACCGTGGCGTATTCTATTGATTGCGATATACGATATACGATATACGATACGATAACGAATTTGATATTGATTTTGATTGAACAGATTGCAATGCGAATATTCGTATATGGGTTTTTTTTTTTGGAATTTTGTCGATAGATAGATAGTTTTTTGATTGTTGATTTGATGGACGGTTTGGCATACGGTTGGGTGGATTTTTTTGGGTTTAGTTTTTTTTTTGGTAGAATAGGTTGATATGCGGATGCAGTTCAAGAATTTTGAGTCGTGGTCGGTTGCCGCATGAAGTTCGGATGATAGATTTTTGGTTGTAGTAGTTGTCAGATATAAAGTTGGATATTGTAGCATTTGTATTTTTGGTAATTTGGTGCGGGTGGGTTTCGGTTACGGTTTCGATTTCGATTTTGATTTTGATTTAATGTCGGATACAAGGAGAGACAAATAGAAAAGTAAAAGAAATTTAATTTTCATGAAGAATTTTGACATCAATTTCAGTTCATTTTTTTTGCACAACGTCTATAAAAGGTGAGAGAGGTGGGCGGGAATAAGGAATAGAGCAAGGGGGTTTCGAGAGGACTATATAGGACTATATAAGTAACATTTAGAGTCGTTTGGGGGCAAATATTGCAGTGTTTCTGGGTTTTTGGGGTAAGTGAAATCAAAAATTAAAGTGAATTTATTTTCGTATCTCCATTTTAGCCAGGCAAAGGAAAATTCGAATAAAGCAAGTCTTGTGTGTGTGAGTGTAAGTGAGTTAGCAATATTCTAGAGAGACAGAAAGGGAGATAGAGCAATTGAAGTGGGTGTCTGTGTGAGTGGGAGTGTGGGTGTGTCGATATGAGAGTGAATGTGTGAGTGTGAGTGTCCGTGTTTAAGGCTGTTCTTGTTGTAGTTGTTTTGTTTTGTTTTGTTGTTTTTGTGAAATGAGTGGAAAAAGTCATTTGTAAGCCAAACGATTTATGTACACATTTATTCCTGCAGTTGAGACCATCATTCAAGGAAAATGTTCATGTGCGTGCCTTAAATGCAAATTCATTGAACAGGGTCGCCCGTTATAAAGGACACGAAAATTTCCAGCATTTTTTTTTTGGTTTAAAGCTTTCAGCTGCTTTGCTCCTGGTTTTTAGCTTCTCGAGTTGTCATTATCCTTGGAAATGTTACGGGTTAAGATTTCAATTGAGCGGTGTTTTTTTTATATATTGTGTGGGGTTTTATAGGGGGGACTTTGAAATCGCATACTCGCCGATGAAGGTGGATAGAACAGGGGCGGAACAGTAAGAACGAGTAACGAGTAACTGGTAACTAGTAACGAGAGTACTTACCAGGGGCCAACTGGGTAACCAATCGCTGCAAATAGCCAATAGAACAGAACAGAAAGCAGACTACAAATCATATCTTACCTAACCTCTGAAGGGTTACTATCAGGTGCGATTTATATCTATATAGTTTTGGCTTGGCAACTTGGCAGCCTTCATGTCTAGGTCACCCGTTTAAATGACCCAGACTTGAGTGCTCCAAATCGCAGATACTCGTATCTCTAAGATACTTTTGTGTGTGTGTTTCAAGGCGCACTTTACGGACTCTCTATTTTATTAGGGGTCTCTGCTGTTTTGTAGAGTCTTCGGGGCTGCGTCTTCTGGCTGTTGATCGACGACTTGTTGAACCATATTTACAGTGTTTTGTGTCTGTTTAGATTTTTTCGTAATTGTTTTTTTGATTCAATTCAATCGCGAGTCAAGCCAGGTGTGGCGCAGGGCATGCTGGTTTCGTTTTTCGATTGTTTTTGATGCGCTCCCTTTTGCTATTATTATTTTATAATGTTTTTTTTTTGATCGTTCTACTCGTACCCTGGTTTGATTTTGATTTGGTTTAGGTGCGTTGTTTTGTACATAGTTTTTTTTTGGTTTGGTTCGGCTTGCGATTTTTGCAGCTTGCAGTTTTGCATTTTGGCGGAAGCTGGGCGTATATTGATATCTGGGTACCATTTCAGGTTGAAGTGTGTTCGATTTGCTCGTCTGGGTGCTCGAACACAAAAACAACCTGAGTCGGCTATATATATATGTTATATATAGTATATAGATGGGCATATGCACGAGTGTGCATATGGAGAGGCTTTTGTAGGATGGTTTTTTGGTTTGTTTTTGTCATTTTTGGCTGAAGCATGCTTCGATTCTAGGTGCGTGGTGCAAAACGGGGGGATAGGTGGGATTCTTTTTTTGAGGGGGGTAAATTTTCGTGCCTTTACGCTCGATTCGCAGGCGCGTATCTATGAATTTGCATACATTTTCTTTGGATGACAGTTTTTCTTTGTATTGAAAAATTAACAAGAACATACAAATACGAAAAAAGAGATTTGTTTTCTTTTCTTTGCAGTTTCTTTCTTCTTTCTTATTTTTTTTTCTTTCTTGCTGTTGTTGTTGCTGTTTGTTGGAGTTGTTGTTGTAGTTGTGGGTGTAAGTTGTTGCTTGAGAATTGTTTTAGTTGTTAGATAGTTAGAAAGAAAGTTAAAGTTAGCGTTACGGCGGGGTCAGGCACCAAAGCTTGATTTATATATATGAACAATTTTTGAAAAATCTGGTTAATAAGTATCGAATATAGATAATATATCAAGCTTTTGTTCACTCAGGTGTCCGACCCCTTTACAGTGCCTCAGGTGCAGTGCATTTCAGCATTCCTATGGAAAGACTTTCTCTGGTCCTTTGGCTCCATTAGAAATGTGAAATAAGTTTAAGTTTAAGTTTAAATAGATATTAAACTACTGTGGAGAGGGCAAAACTCAACTGCGCTTTCGCTAGACCAATTGGGCATATAAGTTCATTTGGAAATTTTTCAAGACGCAGATCGTTTTGCCGAGGAAACTATTGTGTTTACTGGATGTATCTGCAAGATTGTTTTGCACAACGCTAAGCGTGGCACGGAAAGCTGGCAAAAGTGTGGTTTACTTAACGAATAACAGAAAGCTGGCACGCAACTTGGCCAGTTGTATTGAAATTAAAAGTTTTAATCAAATAATACATTTTTTTTTTGGAATCCATAGAGATCCACTGCCTGTGAGTGTGAGTGTGTGTTCGGTGTGAGAGAGATAGAGAGATATATGGGGAAAAAATCGTTTTGCTACTAGATTGGATTTTCGCTTAATGGGTTTTCGGTAGTGGAATCGGTTTTTTTTAGGGGGGGTTTTTGGTAGTTTCGGTAGTTGTTTGTTTACCCAGTAGACTGGCAAAGACCATAACGAAGCATGTTCCCAGATAGACGTCAATCGACTTGACGTACGAAATCTTTGGCAGCGCTGCATTTGTTGACGACATCAAAGTGGTCATTGTCAACACGGTTGTCACACCGAGCGCCACACGCGCCGGCGTTGCATTGCGATTGAGCCAAAATGATACCCATGATATAATAACGATCAGTCCAGAGGGTATGTAGATTTGTATAAGGTAGTAGCCCATCGAACGCACGAACTGAATTTCGCAGGCTAAACGCGAATAGTTGCCTGCCCGCGCCAATTTTCATTTTAGTTTTTAGTTATTTATTATACATTGTTTGTTGTTTTTGTTTAGCGTGATTTTGAAAAGAGGGGAGAGAGAGAGTAGAAGAAGATGTAAAAATATTATTAGTATTGAGTTCGCTAAAATCGATTTTGTTGTCAGATATTTACAAACAATATTGGTTGTTGAGCTGGCAAAACAAAGAAAGAAATTCAATTTTTTATTAAATTATCACTACTTTTAAATTTCAATTTTAACATTTAAACTATTTCTAAATATAATTATTCCATGTTTTGCCAGCTCAAATTATTAGGTATTCATTACCAAAACCAAATTCACAAAATAAAATTTAGAACTTCTGAACCAAACCAACTTAAACGTATAAGAAAATAAAACCAAAATTAAGTATGAGCGCATTTTAATGTGAAATTATGATCGGCTGGCACCTTCCTGGAAATATTGTTAGTTTCGAACTATATGCGACGCTTCGTTATCAGGCAGGCAATACTTCAATAAACATATTTAGGTACTTAAATATGGGCTATAAACAAAATGGCAATTGTCAAGTCAAAGCTAAGGTCAAGAACTAAACTTGAAAAAATATTCTAGGCATTCCACATAAATCCTTGCAGAAGGTCCAAACAATTCGCAATCGATTAAAGAACCAATAATAATCATTATAATCATAACTTATGGTGAGTAACCCATTCTGCAAGAATTTTTTCACTTCGACTAAACCGAAGTAATTAATTGATGTTATTAATAAATGAATCCATGTTTAAGTAAATGATTAGTCACAAATACGTTAGGAATAGAAGTGGCTTGCATTAGAGTAACTAAAACTAACCGCAAATCTCAATAAAAAAGGTAAATAAAACGATAAGAAAAATGAGTAGAGGCAGCTAGTCTAAGACCTAATTAGGAGCATTTGAATTGCCTGCATTTCGTGGCTATTTGTCTATTTTAATATTTATTTTAAGGATTTGGTAAAAGAAACTTTATAAGATGAGAGCATGCTTGGGAGGGCGTTTTGTTTTTTCGATATATATATATTTTACGGATATTTTGAACTTGGTATTTATAAATATATATATATATTTTGTATGTATAAATGGTAACTTTCATATTCTCTCGCTTGGTAATTTTGCAAATGCTATTGCGTATGGGAGTTGATTGGAATTTTAATTTATGTTGCATAGCTTTTTCGATTTCTGATTTTAAAATTAATGCATTTGTTGTAGTTGTTTTGTTGATTTACAATACAGAATGTTCGGTGTTGATTGTTTTTAGTCGTTGTTCGATTATGCTAATGAGTTTCGATAGCGTTTTAAATTACTGGTAAATACGTTTTGTAGATAGCTGTTGTTGTTGGTAGTAAAAACTAATTTCAGTGACTAGTTAATAAAGTTATGTGTACCATGTGTGAGTGTGAGTATGAGTGTGGGTGTTTGGCAGCTTAAAAAATTGGTTGATTATGTTGTAATAATGTCAGGCATAAATCAAAAGCATGATTTACTAAGGAAAAGCCATATTCAGTTAAGCTTTGCTATATCGATTACTTTATGTTCTCGTTCTTTTTGCATACGATTATTTTCACGTTGCTTATTTGGTTTTATTATACAAAGGTCGCTAGGTGAATTGTTTTTCAATCTCATATTGATTTCTCTTTTGATTTGGTTTGATTTTTGTCATCTTTTTTTTTTTTGTTGGCATTGCCAATGATAAAAATTGGGTTTGTTTGCTTCGTATATTTTTTGGTTTCTGTTCTTGTCATGGTTCGCTGTAAAGTATGAACTTATGAGCGTTGAAATCAAGGCGGAATCAACTGAGAGTTCGAAAACAAAAGTAAGCAGAAAGGAAAATCATTTGATGAACGAACTAAATCGGAAAATTGTTGCTAGCTTGTAACATGCGTTGATTTTGCGTTTAAAGATATATGAACAGTATCCGGTAGGTACGAGTACGATTACGAGTAAAAGTGGGAAAAGCTCTAAGACTTAGTCTCAGTCTAAATCAGGCCGTCTAGACTCTAGACTATTAGGTGGGCTAATGTTGAATGCACTTGTTGTTATTATCGTAATTTAATTGTTAACGTTATTGCTTGGTATTTTTTGTATGCTATAGAGTAGATTAGTTGATGGAACAAACGCTAGCTAAATGGAAAATAAATTAGGTAAAAATCTTAAGATGCTTAACATGCATTTTCTTCGCTTCGCAGAATGACCCTGCTTCAAGCACTATATCTTTGATTAATCCAATCAAAAGGTGCTTGAAGCAAGGTTCTACTCCACCGAAAGTTAGCCCAAGTTATTTGGCAAGCCTGTTTTGATTGAATTTAGAGAACTTTGTACAAAATGCTGCTTGAAAATCATTTCGAATTGAGAAACAAAAAACCAAAGAATAACTCATCGAACTGAAGAGCCTGAAGAGTAGAATTGAATCGAAAACGCAAAATCAAAACGATATATTTATATATAGTAGTTATATATAGATAAGTCATCATCGGTATTATCGTAAATATATATAGGTAAAAGTAAAGTTTTGAAAGAAAATCGGTAACCGTCTACAGGTACCTGTGGTAAGACTGATTTCCATAGCTCTTTGGCGATGACCCAAGACCTTAAATTGGGGCAGCGAAACCTCACTCGAGACACCGACCGAGTTGGGGCCCTCGTTCCATTTATAGCGGATGTCACGCATCGTGTAGCCGACTATATATGGTGTATATAGTTGGTTGATTGTTGTTGTTGTTGTAGTTGTATTCGTTGTTATTGTTGTAGTTGTTGTTATGTTTGCAAATTGCATTTTGTACAAGTTGGTGTTTGGTTTTTGGGTTTTCGGGTTTTTGGTTTAAGTTTTTGTATTTGGTTAGGCGAGTTTATATTACAGTTGTTGTTGTTGTTGTTGTTGTTGTTGGCACAGTTCGGTGGTGAGGTTGTCGTTGTTGTAGACGAAAAATATGCATAAAACAAAAAATACATTTCGTGAGACTATTAATAAGTTCTATTCTATCATAGAAAATTTCATAAACAATTCAATACAATTCATTCGCAGTGTGTTTTCTTCTTTTCTTTTTGTATTATTTTCTTTTTTTTTTTGTCGGTTGTACATTTTCGATTCGGTTGTTGCATTAATAGTCTCATTCAGAACTTGTCGCTTCAAGTGTTGTTCAAAAATATATTTTTTGATTTATTCCATCGAGAAGAAACTCTAAGATTATTAATGATTGTTCGTATATTACAGTTGCGCTAAAAATGCATTATACTTGTTGGGTTTTCCATTGGCAAAGCGTAACTAGGATAAAGATTGAGGAGCTTTCAGTAGGCACGCTCTGGTTGACTTACAGCTACTGTTTGTTCTTATTGGCAGTAGTAGGGTTGCTTAGGACTAGAGAACTTATAACTTAGCGTATCTAATTGTTTCGGTGTCAGAAATGGGTGCTCTTGTGTCTTCTGTTTAAAGGCTAAGGCTTTTACAATGTTCTTGCGCCTTTATTTAAGTAGTTTCTTAGTTTTTATTTAGCGTTTTAGTTGCTTTTGCCTACCCAAGCAAACGAAACTGGACTCTCTTGCGACTCGAAACGAACTGAAATTGGAACGGAAACGGAAGTGGAAGTGGAGGAACCAGAAATCATAATCGCTGGGCCTAACTAACGCTCACTACGTCACTAACTGCTGCTTTACTGATCGGTAAACTGAACCAACGTAAAAGGTAAAGGATAAGCAAAGGAATATAGAATAGAGAATAAAGAACAAATCAACGAGTAGTCACAACAGAGGTTAGTAGAGGACACTTCAAACACAATATATATATTTATATATATGTTAAATGTGGCTTAGATGGGAGGTTGGTTCGATTGTTTCTGGTTAGTAGCACAAGTTACGGTTAGCACTCGATAAAGAGATATAGGTTAGATATATATATTGGTGAAGGAGAAGTAGAAGTTGACGGAAATGAACAAAAAACTTTGGTTAGAGGTGCGTGTTTCGGTACTTGGATATGCGCTAACCCGTTTCGGAAACACAAAATCAAAATACGATTACGAAAATCCATTACGACAAACGCAAAACGGATAAAAGTTCATTGAAAAATGTTTGTCAAAAACAAAGGAAATGGTAATGTGATTATATTGATGTTATATTTTTTTTTTTGCATATATATATATATATTTTTTTATATTTGGTTTGTTATGATTTTTGAATGTATGGGGGTACCTGTGGTTAGGTTTATTTCGGTCGCCCTCTGCCTGTGTCCCAAAACTCGGAACTGCGGTAGTTCGACCTCACTGCTCATGCCAACACTACTCAGTCCATCTCTCCAGAAATATCGGATATCTCGCATCGTGTAACCGACTGCATGTCGTCGAAGATCATTGTTGTTGGATGGTGGTTGTTGTTGAGTAGTAGTTGTTGTAGTAGTAGTAGTAGTAGGTAGTAGTTGTTGTTGTTGTTGCAAAAAGGGGGTTCAGTAGTTAATTAATTGATGTTATTGTTTGTTTGTTCTGTTTTTTGGGTTTGGTGTTGGATGATTTTCTGGGACTTATACACAGAATACTTAGCTCACACACTCGGCGTTGGTTCGGTTATATAAAAGGAGTCTTATAAATAGAGTGAATCGTGAGTGTTTGGCATTTCTTGGGCCCGATTTCTGTGGCGAGTTTTGACATAGAAATTCTAGACGTAAATGATAGGCATATCGAACGTATATACAATATATAGATCTTAAGCAAAAGCGTGCTGTGTATGGGTTTTGACTTACAGAATATGTACTTTAATCGTAAACTTAGGCTAACAGGGGCTTGGGGGTCGTAATTCGAGTTAAAGGCAGAGGCAGAAAATATATATCTTCGATCATCGGATATTGTTCTTGGTGTGGAGCCTTCTGCGGTTGCTGAAATTGAGAAGGCGACCGAAAACCAACCAATCTTCTGCATGATTTCAGCGCCATGATATTGTGAACTGTTGATTGTGATATTATACGATATATAATATATTAACTGATACTGGTTGATAGCTGTTGGGTAAGACATTCGGGTAGATGCGGATAAAAATGCACATGAACTGGGTTTGCATGTGACACTTGAACTTTTATTTCGGGTGGCTTCAAAAAACAAACAAAAACGACCAAAAATATCTCAGGTGTGGGGCACTGGAACTGTTTGAGTAATTGAATGAGTTGTTGGCTGGTTGGTGGATTGTTGGCATGGGGACAATTTCGGTTGAACAAAATATGCACAACGAACTAAAAACAGATATTCGAAAATAAAAATTAAATCTATTGAGAGCTAAGATTGAAATTAAATTCCCTGCCGCCTAACCTTTGCTCAAAGACAATTTAATTGAAGTAAATTCAATTCGATTTCCTGCCGTTTGTGGCAACATAATTGCTCTGTTCACAATTGTTCATATCAAAGGCGTCTTAATTGCTTTTTCCTCAATCGAATGTGTTCCGGGTGTATGTGTGTGTGTGTGTGTATGTGTGTGTGTTTTGTATCTGTGGCACTTAAAATTTACTTGCTTGCATTTCAATTGTTTCGGTTTGGTTTCTTTCACATAAGCTTGTTTTCGATTTTCTGCCCACACCGAACAAACAGCGCACGGCCTTTGCTTGAGAGTTGAGCTCGGCTTTTTCGGAGTGGCCAAAACTGAGTGCGGAAGGTGGCTAAAATGGTGCAGGCTACTGGCTAAAATAACAGGTATTTGCAAAGCACTTGACAACACTGGATAATTGCGCAATTTATCGGCCAAAGAGCACTTTATTTTGGCCACTCCCCGCCGACATTCTGAATGAGTTGGTTTCTTGTTCACATATTGCTTTCTTCACATAGTTCATTGACATTTTTCACAATTTCATCATTATCCTATCTCGTTATCATTACTGGCCTTAATTTTCTATGGATAATTCAGATCAAAGTACTTACAGCTTTCGATTTCAATGTGGCACAGCTGGCGGTCCATGGGGAAATATTGTAGGTTCATCGGACACGATGCGGTAATAGTCAATCTAAATGGATTATTTTAATTGGGTTTTTTGGGGGGGAAGAGAGATTATTCGATTAGTAACGGATTCAAGGGTTACGAGGTGAACATCAACAAACAACGAGCAGAGGGTTCAAAAAATTACATTCTATTATATACACACAACATTTACGAGGTTCAAGGGGGATTTCAAGTCATTACATACAGAGCGAGTTCAATTGGATATGAGCTATTTGTTATACATATATTTTGCTGCTGTTTTTGGTAAGTGAGAGATACTTTGAGTGGCAGTTTGGTTGTAGATAGTGAGGCGATTGGCTCTTACGCAGGGTTAACATTATTTGGCTTACTTAGTTGTCGTTGGTTTAATTGTTTGCTTACAGCTACGAAAACTAAACGCTACTCATACTTATTTTGTGGCTGTTGCTTTGTCTTTGGGTGGCAGCTGGTTTTTGGGTTTTGTGGCGATTTTGGACAGATTCTTGTTTAAAGGTAGTAGAAAAAAGAGCGCCCAGTAGCCGAGCTACTGCGACCAGTCAAACCTTTTTGCGGTGTCAAAAACACGTGAGACAGAAGGTACCTTCGATAGTCATGCAATCCCTGGTTTTCGATGGTTGTCGATTTCTGATTCTCGATCTTTGATTTCGATTCTTGATTCTTGATTCTTGTGGTTGTTTGTGAGGGGAAATGCGTTTGTATCTTTCATGAGCCACACAATTGGGGATGTCGAAGTGATGGATAGTAAAGTTCCATCCTATCGATGGTATGAAGTGAGATATGTTTTCTCCAGCCAATCGGGTAAATATACATGGACAAATTTTTGATCGATACCATCACAAAATAAAACTTAAAATACAATTTCGAACCGATTTTCAGCTAAAAGTCGATACAATCGATAGCACCGATAGTACAATCGCACAGTTTGCACCTCTAACCGATGACTTTCATGAAATGTACAAATCATTGGAAGCTGCATCGCTCGAAATTTGCCAACTTTCTTTCACTTTCACTTGCCAATTGAACTCACTTGATTAGTTTTAATCGCTTGGAGGAAAACTGTTTTTCGTTCTGTAGAAATTTTCCATTTTCAATTAGATTTAGTAAATTACAACATCGATTTATACACACACAGAAAAAAAGTTAGTTGCAAAAAGGGCCAAAAACGATAATTTTAACGATAGAGTAGAATGTTTGAAGTATATATTTTTTTTTTTTTTTTTGGTTGTAGGTTGTTGGTTTAAGGTTTGTTTTCGGGTTTGTTTTGGTTGTAGGGTTAGTTGTAAAATAGTTAAATACACATACACATATACAGACAATTAAAAATGTTAATGTTCGCTTTCATTGAGAGCGTAGATTTGGGAGTTGCAGTAGTTGAGTTGGTTTTTACCTAATACTTCTTGTTATCGATCCAGAATGATGCACTCGTATGAATTCATTACTGGTTGTTGCAATGTGAAAATATGATTGTTTTTCATTTACAAAAAAGGTGTCAGGTACCCAAATATTCTTAATGAACTCTGATCCAACCGATAGTGTTTCTACACCAGGTCGTTTTCTATACGCTAAACGAGGATCGGTCCAAAATTGACGAAAGTAAAAATCCAATGTGAAGTCCTATTCAATTCACAATTTGATTCAATTCGATTCGATTCGATTCGGTTTTCGGTACAAAGGGAAAGGTAGCAAAAAGAGATTAAGAGGTTATTCATATTAGTAAACATCGGCAGTGAGAGCTTACGGATCTAGTTAACTAAACGACTAGTAACTAAAAGTATTGTGTGTTCTTAAAATTCATTTCGATTAAATTAAAAAATTCATAGAGAAATCGATAGAGAAATTTTGCGAAAACTAGGCGAAAAGTTTCTTTTTTTTAGTTGGGCACAACAGATACACTTAACAAACACACAAAGAAAGGAACTTGCGGCAAATAGAAACCAAGGAAAATTCATAGCGTGCAACAATTTCTTTTCTCAATTTATACAGAAAGATGGGATATAGGGGAGTCTCCAGACAACATGCAAAAACATCGAATTGAAACTTTATACAGCGCTTTTCGGAGGGCGGTAATGAAGTCTTAAAGAGAACCGAAGAGTAAATGAAATAAACAAAAATTACTAAGCTTATTTACATTAGCGATAGAAAGAGGTCTTGGGATCGGGTAAGCATTTAAGTAGTACGGAAACCTCTCACAAATATTCGTATGGATTCGTTGCTGTGATTGTGAAGTAGCTTGGCTTTTCTGGCTACTAAAAGGGGTTGTTGGGTTATTACTAGACTACTACGGCATCTATGGCAACAGGCTGGCAGGTTGGTTGGTTTGGTTTGGTTGTTAGTTATTTGTACGCTTTATACAGTATACGGTATCGTTGGCTTTTTGGCTTGGCTCTTTTGTTTCAGCTGTTTCTGCTTGTGCCTCGAAGCTAAGCGTTTTAGGCTACGATTGGATTGTTTAGAATCGGAGTCGATTGGGGGATTGGATTGGATTGTAGAATGACAAACAATTTGGCTGTGTTTGCTCTGGTTTGTATCTGTGTGTTTTAGTATCTATGGGTGGGTGTGACTGGCTGGCTGTGTGTGTGTGTGGGTGGGTGGGGGTATTGTTTTTCGGAAGAGGGCGAATAAGGACAACTACTCGAGTTGTTTCTCTCAGTCTTGCATATCATTATCTTCAAGCGCGTCACGTGGCCGACAAGGAACCAAAAATTAAACGGAAAAGCATGTAAATGTAAATGTAAATGTTAAAGGTAAATGCAAATGCAAATGTAATAATAATAGTAGCTGTAGTTGTAGAGTTTTAGTTGTTGTTGTTGTTGTTGTTGTAGTAGCAGGTAATAACATTTGTAAGTAGTTATAAATATTTATAGGGCGCACACTGCTTGCTTTTTGGGTACTTTGCCAGTACTTTAACGCACGCTGAGTGGTGCTAGCTGGTATGTGTCTACATGGCGTATACGTATTTTCTATATGGCTATGTGTTTTATTTATGATGCGAAAATTGCACACGGTTCTCGTGGGTTGCCTGCAATCTTCTCCTGGCTTTAAACTAGCAGATTTGGTTTCCACTCGGTTTCTGGCACGCCCAAAAACAAAAACTCAAACACAAATTGAACTCAAAAACGAATCGAAACTCAAGCGTAATCGAAAAACGGAAATGAAATTTCGTGTGGATTATGCAATTTCCATAACTCTGTTTTGGGTTGCTGGGGTTTCGTTTGCCTTGCAAAAAGGGGCTTCGGGGGTCAACCTGGATTTGCGTATTTTTATATTCTTGGCACACACACAAAATCAACTCTAAATACAAATACTTATGTGCATGACGGTATTTATAGATGGTTCACAATTAACCCCAAACGTGAGCGGGTCTATCGAGTTGTTTGTTATATATATCTCTTTATAGCATACCATTTACAATTTACATATGTATAGTCGTGTGTGTGTGTGGTGTATGTATTGTTGCTCCTTGTTACACAATTTTTTCGCTGCTTTTTTGTTGTAACCTCATGTCATGTTGATTTTAACTGCCTCGCTGCTCAGCTGAGTTTCGATTGAATTGGACGGGTTGTCTTATGTAAATTTGTCACAGTTTTTACAGAGTAAAAAAATCAAATGAATTTGGAAAAAAGGTTGATCCTTTTATTTTTACTACGTTCTTTTTTAATTTTTTTTTAATAAAAAATGATTTCCGGATTTTTATTAATATAATTTAAGAAATTAATTTTTTACGTTTGCAATTAAATTTACATAATTTCTGAAGAAATGCTGTTCTCAGTGTATTCGCATTGGTATCTGTTACTGTGTCTATGTGTGTGTACGCGTGTTGTTCTTCTTGTTTCGGTTTAGCATTGGCTCAGTTTATTTTTGAATTATTTTCATTAGCAGCGTAGCGTTTCTGTTTTGTTACCGGGTCGCAAAATGTGTAAATGAAAAATTGTCATGTAAGAAATGATCGGGCTGAAAAAGAACATGTTGCTGTTGTTGTTTTTGTTATCCTTGTTAACGTGTTTTCCTTGCTGGATTGTGTACGGCAGTATGTTCGTGTTTACGTTCGTGTTGGGCATGTTATTTTCGCATAAATTGATTGCCAAAGCCAAACGGTGCGATTGTATTGGTTGTTTTGTGTCATACGAACATTTCCTTAAGGTAAAACAGTGAGAGTGTTCATATGTGTATGCAGCAGGAGTGCATTAAAATCCGTGTTGTATGTGTGAGTGATTGAGGTCCTATTAAGTGCAAATTTGCAACTTTTCAACAAAACTTTCAGAGTATTTGAGAATTTTTGTGTGCGCCAATTGAGGTGTTTATCTTTCATCCGTAAGATGCTCTCTTTTTTCACACTCATTAATTTTAGAGTTGCATGAAAGTCAGACGATGGAAATGTGTAGTTCGAGATAAAATGCAAAGATTAAATTTAATAAATGAGTTTCCTGAGGCCTAAGATTTATTCATTTATGTGAATCTACCCCAGAGGCTTGTATTTATAAAATGATTTTGAAAAGCTCCTCAAAATACGTTTAATTCACTCAACCAATCAGAACGTGCGACGTACAGAAAATAGATCAATTTATAGTAATTTTTAGAAAAAAATGTATAAAATCCAATACTTTTTTATAGTATAAGTTTTAGAGAATTATAAAAATAAATAGTATTGATAAATTGATAAATAGTAAGAGCTTTTTTGCTTTAATTTCGCGAAAGGCGTAAATCAAGAAAAATGAAAACACAGAAACAGGCATAAATGAGTAGTCCCTTGTACATTAGGCTAAGTCCATATATCGTTTGACGAACACATCGACACCGAGCTTGATTATATGCTATATATGCTTTGTGGATTATGATATTCATTCATATTCATCTTGTTAACAAATACGCATGCGCGCAGCCTTCGTCAATGCGGCCGCTGTGATTTATTTGATTTTATTATTTTGCATTTGACCAGATCACAACAAACATAATGACGGATATATGAGAGTATAGGTATATGGTGGATAAATGAAATTGGTATAAATATCTCTCGTTTCTCTGGCGGGGGGCCCATCATAGTGTCTGTGTGTATGTGGGTATGGAATGGATGAACTTCGGCCATGTACTCGATGGGGCGATAAATAAAGATTTATATAGCAATTAGATTGATTGACTTTATCGCAGTTACTGCTTTCCATAAAAATTCCGAAATGGAGGGATGCGATGTAAATGGAGACAAAGGAACGCAAAAGGCAACAAACTGAAGAAGCTGAACAAATGGTAATGGCATTTCAAAGCGTCAGAGTTGAGGAATAGATAGAGATAGCGAGAGTGTGGGCGAAAGAGAGAGCAGCAGTTGGTCTGGGCTCAAGGAGCGTTACCAAAAAATGTGTAGAATTTCGGGGAAATTTGTAATTACGTATATTTCGGTTTGCATTGTTCTGGCCGAGAAGCTTTGAAATGGAACAACAAACAATTTGCGAACATCATGGCCTATTGATTAAACATTGAAACAATAAACACAAAACGAATATGCAACATTGGAATTTTATAGTTGGCAATTGCATTGCAATAACGATTCGTTTCACACAACATTTAATTGGCAGAACTTTGTATATTTATATTTGTATATGTATTATATAGAGATACTGGTTTGCAGTTGGCTTTGAATGGTCGAAACAAACACAATCTTAAGTGAATCAAAGTAACTTGTAATAAATTTGTATGTCTGTTGCCAATTAGCGAAATTAAAACGGATAACAAATGCTAAGACACAAAATGAGCTTTAAGCAACAGAGACAGACATAGAGAGAGAAACATATAGTAAAAGGAGACAGAGATATTTATAGAGAGAGAGAGAGAGCGAGAGATAGTTACAGGTAAGAGGTAGAGACTGAGAGAAATTAAGAAGTATACGAGTAGATTTATGAATTTTTATTGTTTGTTTGCTTTTACCAAAAAAAAATAACATTTGTTTTGTATCTGTGGTAAATTGTAGTTTTTTGTTTTGTTTTTTTTTTTTTTATTTTTTATTTATGGCATATATTTTTACGTATGTACCATTAGAACTTCCGAAACCGAACTGATACTGAGGACATACATTGTGACGCCAACCTCCACAGGGGGACCTGCAACATATACACACACACGGATTGATGGAATTTTCATTTTGCGTTTGGTATGGTTATTCTGTAGTTGTAGTTGTTGTTGTTCATGTTAGATGTGGCTAAAACCCAAAATATGAGAACTGAAACACACACACAGCGGTACGAGTAACAATGGACGCAGTACGTTGACATATTTTCTTTTTTATTCGCTGCCTACTTTCGGGCGCCCTTCCTTGGGCTCGTCGGGTGCTGTTTAATTTCCATTAGCAAAATTAAATATATAAGATACGTTTAACACACTAAAATTGGCAAGCGTTGTGCATTGCTTTGCAGTTGTTTGTTTTTTGGCTGTCTATTTTTTTGTTGTTTGTTTTTGTTGTATTTGGTGGCTGACTAAATTTGTGTTTATGCTTTTGCTTCTGTTTATTGCACGCGCCGAATGAAAACCAAATCAGTTTACTACATCGAGGTTCGCATTAATGTTGTATGTATTTCTTTTTGTTTGTATTTTTCAGCTATTCGAAAGAGTTGCAGTAGCTCAAAAAAATAATTATTTGAGAAACAAAGGCGCCTATTAAATAAATATTTATGTAATCTAGTGGATTATTTGCTTTTGAATAGCGGATTCACACACCATTTTCGTTTGCATTGCTTATTTAGAAAGAGATTTTTTGTGGGTTTTGCGATTTGGCAGCATTTGGGTTATGAAATTTATCTTGAAGCTTGGTATGAGTTATGTGGGCCTACAAAAAGAAGAAGACAAAACAATACGCATGAAGTGAGAGGCAAGAGTTCTGCATTGGAATGTGGGGGTTTCAAGATCCGGAAGGGTTGAAATGTTGATGGATTGTTTGTTACTGTGGCTGTTGTTTGTGTGTGCGTGTGTGTGTGTGTGGTTTTTATTTTCGGGTAATTTCGATGTGCTGGGCCAATTAGACATACACAAACACACACAGAGGTTAAAAGTAACGGTGAGCACAGAAGGAATTCATTTTGTAGAGCTTAAGGAACATAAAAAGCTTTTGCCAATCGTTGGTTTTGATGGGTTAGAGAGTTGGCATTTAGTTTACAATGTGTTTGACGATGTGAGGAAGATATCGTGGCAAGAGTACTAAAACATTGGGCCCTATAAATTCTGCCTTCTGACTTCTGATTTCTGACTTCTGGGTTCGTATGGCTTGTCAGCTCCTAACAAAGACCTTAACTAAAAGTATTCATTTCGGGAAACTTATGCGAAATTGTTGGAAAAAACACTTAAACACAGCGGCTATAAAACGAACTAAACATTCGAAGGAGTTAGAGCTTGAGAGATTTAGTACCAAAAGGGAAACTGATAAGGAAATCATACCGTACATAAAGAGAAGGAAACACAATAGGAAAGGGTGTGGATAAGATTCGCAAATAACGCTTTCAACTGGTGTACTTTGGTCAACGGATAGAAATAATAGATCGGTCTATCTATATATTATGGTATATTTAAGAGTGTTCGGAGAGAGAGAGTTCATACAAAGCAAAACAGTTGGAAACATTTGGTAGTACCACGGAAATCAGGAAATCAAGACGTGTGTGTGTGTGTGTGTGTGAGTGTGAGTGTGAGAGAGCAACAAACTAATGCGTTTAGTGGTACGTAAAGAACTGAAAAACTCGAAAGAAAACTCCAACAACAAAGACCAAAGACAGAGAGATAGAGTTAGGAGTAGATAGATAAGTAGAGATAGAATGCGAGAGAGCGCTTAACGATAATAGAAAGGTACAAAGTTCAATTAGTTTGTACCATTTTCACTTCTGAGAGCGAGCTGATCGATAGCACATACATGGTGACTCCGACTTCGACAGGAGGTCCTGCAAACACGTATTTTATAGTAGGTGTTGTTACATGGCTACGGTTAGGTACGGTTTAAGGTAGGTATAAAGGGTTAATCTAGTGTTATGATTCGCGGATCCCAACGCGCCTCAACCTCCCTAAGCATATTGGACATATGTACGTTTTACCGGGCTGTGCCCCCATTTGCGTTTCGTTCAAGTCGCGTTGCGTTTTGGGTTTGCTTATATTTTTTTTTTTTTTTTTTAGCTGGGTAAGTGTAGCTAGATAGTTGGGGTGTCCGGAGATTGGTCTACTTACCACCATAATTGGGTCTTACTCTTTTGTCGTAACTAACACTAAAGGAGTCGAGTATAGCGGATATGTTTACGTCGCCCAGCATGCTGCCACCGCCAGTTCTGCAAGAAAAGTGGATTGTTTGTTTTAATCAGTACAATATTTTAATAAATTTATATATATATTATTATTTAAAAATCAAACAATATGACATTTATCTTTAAAATTGAATAAAAATTGAAAAAGCGCTTAGGAATGCATTGGACTCTTGGAATAATCTATATAAGCAGGGGTCAAAAAATCTACTTTTAGAAAAATAAACAACATTAGAGACATGCCACTTTAAAATCGGACAAAAATCGGTAAAGTTGTGGGCTGCGGAAGTCCGGAATTGGTTGACTTCTATGGAAAAGATCGGAAACTTGAACTGAAAAAATTTACCATCACCAAATTGAAAAATTTAAACACACATCGTTTAAGAATTAAATTAATTTTAAATTTACAGGGGTAAAAAAATCAATCTTTCCCGAAATAAAATATTTAAGTGCAGAATTTCTATCAACCGTTTTGAGGCATGTTACTTTCAATGTTTACTAGAATTGATTCATTTGAGGCTTCTGTTGGCTTATTAATAATTTATTAATGGTTTTCTCTATTTAAGTTGATATTCCCAACCGTTAAGCGATCATTAAGTTATACCTTTTGCCACATCGAACCTTGATGATTCATTAAATCCTATTAAAAGAAGTTATTTCTAGCAGAGTTCGCCAGAATTGAGTTCAAGTGCCTGTTTGCAACATTTGTTGCCGTGCATCATTTCCATATGCGACGTTCAGCGCTTCCTGGAAAAGCGACCGACAGTCGACACAGACATTGCGCTCGGCGGTCGTTGCAGGTTAAGTGTTCATGTGGCACAAACAGTGTGTGGGTGTGCCACTTTCGCTTTATGCGGCATCAAGTGCGCCCCAAAACGAGCGTGTGTGTGTGTGTGTGTGTATGTAATATTTATTGCATGTGCCTGGCAATGAAGGCGCAGACATACACACATACACGCCAGTTGCCAGTTGGCAGTTGCCCGTCGCCAGGCACTTCAATGCCTGTTTATTTGCGTCTATTCTACGCTAAACTGTGCTATTAAAGCGCGTTTGTTGTTATTCCAACTCTGCGTTGGCGAAAGCCATTGGATACACAGCGCTCGGGTCGCAGGACTCAGGTCCCTGGGCTCAGGACACGGGTCTCAGGACCCCCGGTTGCCCAGATGTGTGTGCGTGCTGCTGCTGGTGAGCAAAATCACAATTTAATAAAAGTTGCGCCTGCAAATAAACAGAAAACCCGACTTTGTCTCTCGATTTGCGCCTGCGCGTTTCCCGGAGCTCAGTGTCTCTTTTGGCTTTCATATATCCTGTTTGCCTTTCACTCGTATAGGGAATATATATATAGATATTTATGTGCGAGTATTTTGCCCAATTTGCACATTCGCAAGTCAATTGTTGTGGCTGATTTGCTGATTTGATGCGATTTTAATTTTGCAGCGCACAAAAGTCGGGGCATAATTTGTTGTAATTGAAGCCTGGGCGTGCCGTGGCCCACATTCTCTCGCTGCTCTCCCCCAATTTCTCTCGTTCCCCCCACTCCCCCCAGATTTCCCCGATTTTCCTCTCCTGCCTCGCTTGAGCTTTAACCCAAGTCGACGGCGGGCCATTGTGTATACGCAGCGTGGGCATCAAAGCGAAAGCCGACGGCAAAAATGGCAGCCTATTTATAAATGTGCTCGAAAATACCCGCACTCGTCGCCTTCGCTTCCATTCGATGCGGTTTTATTTTTCGGGCCTCTTGTCTGATGTTGATAATGAAAAAGTTTTGATTGCTATTTGATTTGAGTTTTTGATTGGGTTTGTGTGTGAGCCTGCCTGCCTGCTGCCTGCCTGCCTGAGTACAATGCTGCGTATGCGCAATATTCATTGCCACGGGTTACGGTTACTGGCTTCCAACACTTTCCGCCTCTCGCGGCGCTAGCCATTAAAGTTTAATTTATGCACTGCTGCTACTTTTGCTGGCAGGTGCTGTCAATAAGTTTTTGACAGCCTGCAATAAAAATTACTTGAAGGACGCGCCAAAAACTTTCCGATTGCTCCGCCGCTTATGCCGCTCCTCAAGGCGGAACGTGGCGTATACGTAATATGCAAATGTGCTCCTGCCACGGCTAAGTGAAACTAATATTATGCCCGACGTATTGTCAAATAATTTATGCAGCCCCAGTTGCTGAGTGTGTGTTGGTTTTCCTGTGTGTGTGTGTGTGTGTAGGTTTGTGTGTCGCATGCTTGTCGTTAAGTGCACTAGAAAATGTCAATAGGTCGTACTTAAGGCGTCAAATATTTGCCTATTGATCGAGGGCAGCTAAAGAGCACAAAAATACGAGAAGAACCGCGTCTCGAGTTGCTAGTTGGCAGAAGTGCTGCCACACATACGACTACACAGGGAGATAAATTACTGTAGTATATTAATTATTAAGTCAGAGTATATGTTTTCTTTTTTAATATCAAAGCAATTCTAAATTGAACATTAAGTTCAGAAAGCACTTTACTAAATCTAGTCTTCTTCTTAAAGAATTTTAAGCCATATTTGTGTGGCACACCCAAAAAAGTTGCAGTTTGCCTCTCCTCTCATAGGTAACTAAATCCATTCGAATGCCTAAAATATTCATGCTAGGAAAATTGCCCAATTGCCGATGCATTTCCACTGTGTAAGTGCACATTTGTGCAGCTGGCAATTAGCCGCTTGCACGTAAGTGGGTAACAGTTCGAGTTTTTTCCAGCCAGCTCTCCTCTTGAGATGGCAAAACCAGCAATAAAGGAGCAACAACTTGGGGAAGCAGCTGGGACGGCCGAAGGAACAGGACCTGAGACAGAACAGGACCAGAACCGAAAACGGAAACCGTAACTGTAACAAAACCAAAATGCAAAGTCATGCGCACGACAGTCAAGCCCAAAACGTGTCGCCTCAAGTGCCACGCCATCTTATCGCTGGCCACAGTTTGTTGCCTTATCTTGAGGCACTGCACGTTTGCCACACACACACACATGTACTATACATACATATAAACAAGTGTGTGTGGGTGGGTGTGGCTGGACAGTGAGTGTGTGTTTGTGTGTCGGGAGAAAAGCTGTGGGAAATATTGTCGTTATTGTTTGTTGTCGTTCTCGCTGTCGCTGTCGTTTTTAGTGGCACTTTGAGTGCCAGCCATTACGTATACGCTGCGTTGGACACGCGCCATTGCATAAATTCAAGTGAAACGTTAAAACAAAGCGGAAATGCGAAAACTACTAGCAAATATTATCTTTCTTTTAGCGTTTTCGCAGTCATTGTCTTCATCTCGGTGTCTCCGTTTTCCCCGTCTTCCCTTCTTGCCATTCTCCAGATTCCCGGTTGCCTCAGTTTTCCACAGTTTTGCTATTTTTCCACGCAGGACTTGCCTCCTGACAGCTGCAGGGACTGAGGCGAACGCCTACGCCGAGATAAGCAGAAAGTTGGTTTAGGCCTTTCTGCTGCGCAGTAAAACACTCGGGCAAATGTCTGTGGGTCGCCCAGCCACCAGATTCCACCAGCTTCCCATTCTCCAAAAAGGAAGGACGAAGGACGAGTGTGAGTAAGCGTTTTTTAATAAAGTGATAACTTGATGCCTGACAGCCGCCTGACAGTCGCTGAAAATAAACACATCCGCTTAATAAGCCAGCAACCAGCAGCCGAGTAGACGAGCAGTTGAGCATCCAGCTCCCGGGACACACAGGAAAGCCGCTCGGACATGGAAACATTAACTATTATGAGCTAGCAGAGCAATCCTGCCAGTTAGGCCACGCCCCACTTTATGGACTTGTTAAAGCCAATTTTTAGACACGCTGGGAATAGCTAAAGTATCCCCACAATGGCCCGCACTTTGCGGTTGCCCCACATATTTTATGTGCTATGATCAGAGGTAATTCAGCAGTCTCCAAGCACTCAGTGCTGATTCCATACATCCCCGTCTAGTTTTGAACAAGTTTTAAGCTTTAATTATAAATAAAAGCATTGCACTTTAGGTTGTATCAAAAATAAGTGTTATGCTTAAAGTTTTTGCAAACGTGTTGGCCCCTTTAAACAACAGATTTTATCCGGCTTAAAAGCCAATCTGATAGACGAACTTTTTCAATTCCATTATTCTTAGAACTGAGGCAGCGCGAAGAGATCGTTTGGCCTTTTGATTAAATGAAACCCAATCCCCATACCAAATTCGAACTTATGCGCCAGCTGAGCGGACGAGGTAAATGCATAAAAAATTGAATTGCATTGGCGAGTCCTTGACATTTTGCAAAATGAACAGCAGGCTGGTTGGCAGGCAGGCGATGGTTGGATCTAAGGCGCGGATATCTCTCGCCTCCAGGCGGGCCAATAAAAATAGTTGCCCGCTCTCGAATTGTATTTGCCGGGGGCAAATGTGAAAAAAATTAGACCTGCCTTGTCGGGGCTTTATTAAATATTTGAAAAGCAGATGGAGGCACAAGTGGAATGGCGATTGGCAAAACACAAGCTCGCATACACAGACACAGAATAAAAAAAGGAGGCTGCTAGCCATTCTACCATTTTACCATTCCATACCAGTCAGCCAACCGACCAACCAACCAACCAACCAGTCAGCCAAGCAAGCAGGCAGCCAGCCTGCCGTTTGTAGATATTTTCAATCATACTCAAAATGTGAAGGAACAACAATTTACGCTCAATGACACTCGACGGCGAGCTGTTGACGCCGCCTTGCCCCCGAGTGATGCAGCTGGCGGCGAACTCGAATAGTGGGGCCGTGCCGCACAAGAACGAGAGCGAGATGGAGAAGGAAGGGACGAGGGAACGAGGGACAGGAACCCGGGTGGTCTTTCCTTTTGTCGCTGCCACTTTGGCATTATCTGCTATCAATAAATTCCCAGTGAAGTGGGCACTTGTGTGGCAAGTGGAGCACAACGGGACGCCCAACGGGACACCAACTTGGTTGGTGGGGCAAGACGAGAAGGAGGGGAGGGGAAGGGGGTTTTGTGCCCAGCAGCCCATGCCGCACAGGAAGTGGCAGCGTGTAAAGTGAGCAAACTGTGTCGCTCTGGCCTTTAACCTTTTGCCTGCTGGATAAACTAAACTGAGGGACTGGGAGGCCCTGGGACTTTGACTCGGCAAGGCTGTCATTTTGTGTTGCATACTTTGTGGCGGCGCCTGTGCAATGTTGCATGAAAAAGTAGCGTAAACTTTGCTCCGCTGCCTCTGCCTTTGCCTTTGCCATTGCTGTTGCTGTTGCCTTTGCCTTTTGGCCCAAATAAACGACACAGCTGTGCCTTGGAGTCGCTTGACTTTTCTGCCTTCGCTCTTAGCACCACGACATTTTCCACATTTTCGATTTTGGACTTCTTGCTACGCTAGAGCCTTATAAGCTTATAAGCCACATCATGCCACCTCGCGTGTATCTCCGTGTCCTCGTCTGCGTGCCCAGCACGCGATCTTGTAATCCTATAAACGTGCATTTGTACTCGACCCGCTCGATGTCGCCGCACTCGCACTGGCATTCCCATTTACATTCGGATTCTGATTCGGATCCGGATTCGGTTTCGGTTTCGGATTCGGAGTTTCGTAGTAGACCCCATTTGATTTGCCTAATTTGCCAGGTTGCCATGTTATGCAAATGTTTGCGGCTCTGTGTGGCACCTAAATATTTACTAATGAGCGCTAACCCAAAAAGGAAAAAAAAAAAAAAATAGAGAAAAAGCGGATGAAGGAAGGAAGGCGGTGGCAACCAGAGCCCGGGCTTTGCATAATTTGTGTGATTAAGTTGACAGAACGCCACAGTAGCTGACAACTAATGCCACAATTGCGGCAATTTCTTTGCGTTGTCCGACTCTGTGTGTGTTGTATGCGGTTGCGGTGGGCATGGCCCACATGGATGTACACATGTCCCCAGGGTAACAGCGGGCGTATTGGCTCAGCGGCCAATGCGCTGACAGCTGACAACTGTCAAATGAGCCAGAAGCAGCAAGAGGGAAAGAGAGGGAAAGAGAGATATAGAGAGAGGGACTGGTCGAATCCTTGCACAAGGGTTTCCAAAAACAAACATAAACATCGCCCGGTGGACGTTGACGGGTGAGTAATTACAAGACCATCGAGTGGCAGTTGTCATTTTTCAGTCGCTGCCTGCCATTTTAATGACTGCCACATGCAAATGTGACAACGGCGATGTAGATACGGCCCGCCACTCCGCCACTCCGACGACGACCTAATAAATGGCCCTGCACTTAGTCAAACTGTCGAGCAGCTCGGCATTTATTCACTGCCGCCAGGTCAAGCAGGCTGTCTGTCATATTCCTACTGCCTAATTAGCGCCCGGAGGCAGCCGAAAAGTTTTGAGCGCATTTTGCAGCTAAAATGATTTGAATAATCGTAAATTACCATGAATTATGGGCCCCACGTTGGGCGCCACAAACACACACACAAACACACACACACACAAAATCGGTAACGGAAAACACTCGCATAGCACGCACCTGTGTCGCCTTTGGGGGCTGGTCACTGCAGCAAAGTGTCAGGAGCGAAAACAAATTTATTGTTATTATAACTGCGCCCAACTCTAGTTTTTTCCTGTTTTTTTTTTTCTCTGTGCTTTGTTCGCCCCCAAAAAAAGTTTGGAAAAGGAAAACGGGGGCGGTGTGGCAATGCGGGCATTCGGGCATGCTAACCATTATTTGGCCATAATTTAATGCGAATTAGAGGCGAGCGCTCTCGGCCCTCTATGATGTTATTAGCCTAATTGATAGTTGTAAATGTCACTAATTGAGTAAATGCCATTGAATGCGGCTTACTCCCCCGGTCGCGGCGATGATTTCGCATAATTGCGGGGGACTATCGAATGAGTGATACTTACGCCGCTTGCACTGTGTGGATCCGTTTGTGGCCCGTTTCCTGGGCGATCAGGGCCATGTTGATGGCCAGCCAGATGGTCAGCAGGGGGGTGCGGGGCAGGGGCGCCATCCGGGCCAACTTGTCCGTTCTTGAATCACTCATGGTGGTGCTGTGTTTGCTGTTTGTTTGTCTGCTTGTCTGTTTATCTGTTTATCTGTGTTTGTGTGTGTGTGTGCTTTTGTTAGTTGGAAGTTGAAATTTCGGGAGGGTGCGAGAGTTGCTTATTTAAAATGGCTGTCGTGGCTTTTCGTAGTTTTGCATTAAAAATTGAAGTTTTTCGTTTTTTGGTTGCTTGTTGTAGCTTTTTGTTTCCTTTTTTGGTTTTTTTCTTCTTTTCTTTTAGTTGCGTATAAAGTAAGTTGTAGTTGTTGTTGTTCTTGTTGTTGTTGCAGTTATTAGTCAAGGTTGCTCCTTTAGTTTTAGTTGCTAGCTGGTTCCCCCTGTTGTTTTTTGTTTTTTGTTTGTTGTTTCTTGTATTTTGTATTCGCTCGGCTACTTGCGCTTCTAGTCAGGGCTTTCTCCGTACTTCTCCGCTTGTTGAAGTCTCTCAGTCAGTGAGTTAGTTGGTTGTTTAGGCAGCGAGGCATTCAGTCAGTACTTCAGTGCATGTGTATGGTTGAGTGGGTGTGCTTAGAGGGCCAAGAGCGAAAAAGGGGGCGAGAGTGGTGCCCTTTTGTGACTCGACTCCGTCCTCCTTCCTCCACCTTCCACCTTCCACCGCCGCCAATCCCCGGTCCGTGTCCTGATGGGAGATCGAGTCGAGCTTGTGGGCCCAGTGGCAGATCCTGATGCGCTTCCTCTGCTTTTGGTCCGGGGTCCTGCCTCCTGCGGCATTAATTGCTCCTGCCGTTCTGCCCGTAATCAGGTTACTTCCTGCCTTCACCAGCGCCACGCTCTTGGGGACTCTTTTTTTTCGGTTTTCTCTTGCCTCCTTTATTTACTTTTAATTACTTCTATCCTGGCGATGGAGAGATGCCCGCTCATGTGTTGGTGTGTATCGGTGTGTGTGTGTCAGTGTATAAGTTTGTGTGCGAGCGCTTTGCAAATTCCTTGAAATTGAGCCTTTCGTTGCCTTTCCTGCCTGCCTGCCTGCCTTTCTGCCGTTCGTCCTTTCGTCCTGTGGGGAATCTCCGTCGGGATCGGGGGTCCTGGGTCCTGGACTGGGGTGAGTGTGTGTCAGTGTGTTAGTCGAGCTCCAGCAGAGTGTACATCGTGATATCCCGCTACGAATCGCTCTGTTCGGCGCTGCTTCACCCCGCTCATTAATAATTACAAAATATCCGCACTGCTCATGGCTGCCTCCGCCGGTTTTTCGGTTTTGCGATTTAACGGTTTTGGATTTCACAGATTTTCTATTTTCGTCGCCTCGGTTTCCGCTCAGTTCCGCTGCGGTTTTAGTTTCGATTTCAGTTTCAGTTTCAGTTACGGTATCTGTTTCAGTTTCAGTTGCAGCTCCCTCTTACTGAGTTTCTGAGTTCGTCATCCCAACGGACGCTCCATCTCATCGCTCGTTCAATATCGTTGTGGCGACGGCTCCAAATCGGATTGATGTTATTCCAGCTTTATTTGTCCTTGGAGTGCCTGCAACCTGCTCGATGTGGCCGATGTTGATGTTGGTGTTGCAGGCGACGGGTATCATTTTATTGGTTTCGATTGCTAGAGCTTCGTTTCGCCTTTACTTTGGGCATTGTTTGTTAAGTGGTTACAGCTGTGGCTACGCTTCTCGGGGAACTATGGGACATGCTTGCTAGATCTGAAAGTCTTATCTTAGTTCTTTGACTTTAACACTGCAAAAGGTTTAAAGAAAATAAAAAAAATATTATACATTTTATTCGTGTTATAATTGTTTTGTTATTTTGTTTTTAATTGGTGTTTATTTTTTTTTTCACTAATTTGGTCCGGATTATTAGTTTATTAATTGGGTTTAAATTGTTTGATTTTGGTTTAATTTTTGAATTCTCGTTTCAGTTTCTAAATGCTTTTTATTAGTTATAAATGTTGTCTCACTTAAAAGTATATTTCATTGCACGGGCTTATGTTTAACGTTATTTTTGGTAATGTAGTTTTTGATATTTGGTTTATTTTCACTGTTATTTTTACTTAATTCAAAGTAAAGTGCAAAAACCAGGAATCAGGGCGCGTCGCGTTTTGCTTGAAAATTTCACGCTATTCCTAAAGAACATCCTCACACTCACACATCTCAAACTAATTTATACACGCATACACAAGCATTCACTCAGAAACACACGCATACAGTCACACACAGTCGAGGCAGACACTTTTGTATAGATTTTGTCGAGTTGCCGTTTCTTGTGGAGTCCTTTTTTCAGGTTCTCTTGTACCGTCTGTGAGTTTTGCCAGCCGCGTTTGTCCGTTACATTTTCTCAGCTGAGCGTTTGAAAACCGTTTGGCAGGACAGCAAGTTGGCTAGCAGTCAGTTGGCCAGCTAGGAGCCGAGCAGCCTTTGCAGGACGAATGCGAGAGAGAGAGAGAGAGAGCGAGTACAAGAGAGTCGGCCAAAAATAGCACGAGCCTGAGCCCGAGAAAGTGTGCTACGTTTTCTGCAAAGAGATGAAAGAGCTCTCCCGCTCTCTTGCTCCCTCGCTCTCTCAGAACCTCTGTATGTATGTATGTGTGTGTGTGTGCACGTCGGCTGGCACCTTTTGTGTGCTCTGGTGTTGCCTTGTTGTTATCCTTTCTGGCTTTTTGCAGAAATGTCACCGTGCACTCTCAGCTTTGGCAACCCCGGCAGTTACACTCTGTTTAGCATAAACGCTTGCTACTTGGCTCCAAAGTCGTCCTTTTCACCCCCCTCCCCTGCTCCCTAACCTAGTCTATCATCTAGCTGTGTTTCTATGTGTATGTGTGTGTGTGTGTTTGTGGGCCTGCCTTTGTATTGGGTTTTTGTTTTTATAAATTTTTTCGCATGTGTTTTTTTTTCTTAAGCACATTTGATTTGTATGCCACTTTTTGTGGGCTTTCCTCGTCGGGGTTTTTGTCCTCTTGCTAAATTTCTCGCGCTTTCTTGCACATTCGCACATATCTCGTTAATTGGTAAGCATGCGTTTTCCTGGGAATTTTCTTGTGCCTTTGCTTTGATTGCTTTTTGCGGCAAACCGAGGAAAAAGAAAGGATTTGTCAAGGCAACAAAGTGGAAAGAGCGAAGGGGGTAACGAGCATTGTTTCCTTCAGCCTGTTCAACTTGACAAAGAAAAGCGAGCTGGTATGTAAATTCCATATGCATATGTGAACCGCTTTTACCCCTTTTCCCTTTCTCTCTCGCTTTTGTGTGTGTGCATATTTTATATTCAATGATAAGAGTTTGACATTAATTAAAATGGCAAGAGTTGCGTGTGTGCGGCGCTCACATTCGACATTTTACATTTCACTTGCAGCTCGGAAAATTTATGCCGTGCCCCCTCGATGTTTTTTAAAACGGCTTTTGTTTGGCTTGCATAAATACTTTCATATTGTATACGAAACAACGACAGTTATTAATGAGTTTTGGCCTCCGTCGCTTCCCCTTTTTCGCTGCTACATATTTGATGGCCCACAACAAGGCTTTTAAATATGCAGTCCCCAACTTGAACTTGCATACTTAATGCGCTGGCAACTTTCTAATTACTTAATCCGATTTTACAGGCCACGTTTTCATGGGCAAGCCGACTCTTCGACTCTTTCTCCTCGCAAATACTTTCCCAAAAACAAATTAGATATCCGCCAATAAAACTAGAGGTCCTCAGTTCGTTAGCCCAAACTGCTCAATAAATGTAAAATTTTAGCTTTCATCAGAAATGGAAATTATGGATCCTTGAGTGCTCCCAAAACTGCGTTCATCTATTCATAAAACAGAACCAAGTTAAGTAGAATGTTCACGGTGCCAAAAAATTAATCTAGAATAGTACAAATTCTTATAAATTCTAAAGTACCTTCTCTTAAGTTATTACTCTACTTTTAAATTAATTTCAACCAGTAATATTCAAAATATTACTTCGTGTTTTTAAAAGATGATTTACCATAATTCTGATTAGCATGAGTTTTAATAATTTTCATATATAATACCCAATCATAAATTGGTTATATTTAAAAACCTTCTGACTAAATGCTTTGAGAATCAATTAAATTTAAATTCATTCATGAACTAATTTTTCTAATACAAATGTTTTTAAAAAGAGTTTTAATAAGACACAAATTTTATGATTAACCATATCCCTTGATGGGTTTTCATCCAGAAATAATGAAGAAATCGTTCAACGAATAGCTCCAAATTTTTCCCTGTGCTTTTAACAGAGACGAGTGGCAGATTTCATAGTCAACTGCCATTCAAATATTCATGTGCTGGGCTGAAATCGGCTAAGACTTTAAGCCATTAACCTCGTGGCCGCTGTCATCATCAGGATGTGAGCAGGGTGCCAGCAGGAGCAAGGACGAAGGACCAAGGAGCAGGAGCAGGAGCAAGAGCAGCGGCAGCAGCAGAAGCAGCTGCCTGTGCCCTCTCGCCTCGTGCCGTCCCTCTCGCTCAGCTGGCGCCATCTCACTCTGACGCCCTGTTGATGTGTGGCTGGGCACGTTTTTGGCAATTAAAAGCATATGCGGGCTAGGCCGCCTCCTCCTTGGGGCTAATCAACGAGGCCGCCCCAACAATTTGCTTGAAAATTAAACAAAGCAAAGGGCGTGCAGTGGGCGCAAAAAGGGGGAGTGGCAGCGGGCGGAGCAGCTGCCAAGACGATGGAGCTCACGAAGACGAAGGCAGAGTGCCTACCACAAGCAAACAAGCGAATACACACACATACACACGACCAGACATCAACGAATTTCGCTCACCCACACATGCTCACAGTCACCAATACACACACACACATACATACGTACCACACGTTGCAGCAGCAGAAGGAACAGACTCCTTTTTGCCGTTGCCTTTTGTATTTATTTACTGCTTTTTTCTTTGACTTTGCGTGTGTGTGACTGTTTGTGTGTGTGTGAGCCAAACTCGGCCAAATTCGCGCGTGTGTGTATGTGTTTGTGTGCGTGTTGGTGGCTTTAGTTTTTAGCATTTATTTCACAGCAGAACTCTTTGATTCCTGGCGCTGCCTTTGCACTACTTTACTTAATTATAATTTTCATAATTTATCTGCAAGAAATCGCAATCGGTGTGTTTAAAAATATATCCAGCAGTTTTCTCTCGCCTTTCCGTGCTTTGATTTTCCACGCACACTCACACACTCGCGCTCTCCCTACGAAAAATACTGCAGCAGTTACGCCTTTTTCCGCGACATTTGCCAAATATGCGTTTGACTTGATTTCTTTCAATCGAGGTCACTTGATTGTGGAATTTTTGAAGGGGATTTGCCTTTTGTCGGTTACCAGAAAGAGGTGGAAAATGTATCTATGCCTGGGGTTTTTTTTCTTAATTTTTCTTTTAACAAAATTGTATCCGCTCGGTGTTAACGACTCGACTCGACTCAACTCGCTCACGGACTCAGCTCGGGCGTGTTTGATTTTTTTGCGGAGACCGAGACCGACTGGCACAGTGGCACTTACATCACGAAGCCGCGAAAATTCAGGGTGCGACCGGTCGGCCGAAAATGGCCGAAAGGACACGACCACCGCCAGGATTCTCTCGGCCGGGCAGATTTGAGCTCGGCTCTTGGCTTTCGCATTTCACATTTCGCGTTTCGAGTGGCGGAGAGCTTTTCGGCATCGCACTGCTGGCACAGTTGTTGTAGGTCTCAGTTGGTTGCCCTGCTCCTGTAGCCCTAGCCTACATATGTATGTATATATATCGGTGTATTAGCGTATATGTGTGTGTGTGGGTTAGCGGATTGTTGTTGGTGCAGGCTTTAAGCACACGCAACTGTTTCGCTGTGTGTGTGTGTGTGCGCTTTGTGTACAACCGGGAATCGTTTTGCCTCCCACTGCCAACTTTCTCGCACACAAATCAACATAAATCAGCTAAATCGTCAGGATACAAGTACACACACCCATGCACACCCGCACACACCCGTACTCACACACACGCATGCACACTCATCCAGCCAAAGCACTGTATTAGTAGTAACATACGAGGGCTGAGCTGCAAGCACAGGGCTGGTTTGCATAGAGTGCAGTGACTAGCGGCTGGATCTCATGGCGTATGCGTAATGCAGTTGATGGGCAAATCTGTTTACCCATGACTGAGCAAATTTTGACTGGGCAAACTTCATTTTAGCCTGAAATTGAACTTGATGTTTGGCAAGTGTAATCCGGCCTTATTGAAATATTAAATTATAATCTCGTCGGGGGCTCAGCGTTAATTAAATCGTCGCGTAATTGCTTATTTGTTTAACTCCTTAAACATCATTATGGCGTGCATTCGGGATTAGTTCTCTCATTAACCTTTATAAAGTCAACTGATTTTTGCATTTTAAACAGGATCGGATAGCTTTGGTGTGTGAATTTATTTTTGCATATTCATCACGTGTTTTTGCAGTCACAGTAAAACGTTGTATGCTTTCCATGTCATCAAATTTGTATTTAAAAAAATGAATTAAATAATTTGTAATATATTTTTTTACATTTTCTGTTTCCAATTTATCTACTAGCGCATATATTTTTAAAATCTACTTTCGTTAAATAGTGAAATCAAGAGTTTTAAGGGTTAATCCATCCGCTTTTTGTCGCAGGCCAATCAATGATTAAAGCCAACTCCGAAAACGAGAATTAAGTGTCGCGCAATCCGCAATCCCAATGTATCTCCCGCTGTCATATGCAGTAATGGCTTTTAAAATATATATCGCCGGCCATTAAATACATTTCCGTTCGGGGCTCGACCTCATACAAGCTATATACACAGGGTTAGCACACAAAACCGGTTGGCAAATGGACATCCAGGCGGCCATTTTGTGGCCACAGGACAACGATGTGGGAGCTGCGAGTCCTTTGCCGTCGATGTCAACCAAGTTGACTTTTCGATGCGCACTGCTGATTTTTTTTAATAAGCATAAATTTTGGCACGTAAAGCAATATGGGTAAGCCGCAGACACACTCACACGTTCGCACACTTACACACACTTACACGGGCCGAGAACCCCTAACCGTACTAACGCCTTCCAACTTGCCACGCCCCCCCTGCCCTGCCCTCGAAGGGCGCAAATTGATTGAGTCTGCCGTTGTCATTTGTCGCTGTGGCGGTCCCAAAATTTATGAAAATGAAATGCCACGCAGCGCTTTTCCGCTCTTCCGCTTTTCCGCTTTCGGCACGTGTGTGTATGTGGAATCTGGGCTTTATGCGAGTTTATGCCTGTCCGTGTGTGTGTGTTTGCGAGTGTGTGTCTGAGGCTGAGGCAGCGTCAAATTAATGAAACACATGCAGAGCCGCGTAATTTGTCATTTCGACAAATTTTTGAATTATTTAAACGGAAATCTTAACGTCAGGCAGCCAAACAAAATGTGCGCGCCGCGATTTATGCCACTTTCCTCGGTTCGAAATGCGGGTGTTACTGTTACTGTTACTGTAACTGTGACTGTGAATGGGATTGCGATTGTGACTCTTACTGTGAATGTGAATGTGATTGTGACGGGAATGGATGGCGTTTTAAAGACCTCGCATGATATTGCCAACCGAAAAATGCCAACCAAGGCTCACAATTTCCATTTACGCGCACTCGTTTGTGTGTGTGTGTGTGTGTGTGTGTTTGGGAGATGTTATTCCACTCTCGTCTGCGAGGAGCTGTATGCATTATGCATATCCCGAAAACGCCGGGGATATTGGTTAGGGTAGTACTTGATTGCAAAATTTAAAAATATCGCAAAAATGTTTTACAAAAAATGTTGTATTGTTAAATATAAAACTATAAAACTTCGATTACTCAAGTCTCAAAAACATAGTTTAATGTGAACAAAGTAGTGCAATATTTTCTCAAAAACTTTGCTTAAATGATATAAATATTATCTTTTTAACCAGAATAACTGCAGTTAATTTAAAAATCCAAATTAAATACCATGAAAAATGGGAATCTAAAAAGACTAAGAAGTAAACAAAACCCACTAGGTCCTAAACCTGAATATCCCTTAAGTTCGGCTTTTTGGCAGTTTGGTGGCATTGTTGCTTGTTTCCATTTGCTTTTATGCGCCCGAAAAATGTTGGCTTTTGGACGAGGACGAAGAAGTGGGAGGTGGTGGGGAAGTGGGGAGTGGGGAGGGGTGGAAGCGGGATGTGAATGCTGCTTGGCTTAATAGAAACGTAACTGCGTACAATTGCTGGCTGCCGTCTAATGGGGCACGCACACAGGCGAAGCCAAACACACCCACCCAAACACACAGCGCCACAACCAAACACACATGAACTCATGCATGATGCTGCCAAAAAATGCTGCCTTATCTCATTTGAATGCGCCTCGAATACTGCGCGTTAGTTGCTCAGCTTTTCTTGTTTTTTTTTTTTTTTTTATTTTTGCTCCGTTTTTCCCGGCTCCTTTAGCTGCTGTGCGATTTTCGTTTTTGGCATTTGTTTTCATTCGCAGCGATATTTGGTGCTGTTTTGCATATTTTTGCCATAATCTGTATTATCGACGATTGCGACGCAGCAGCAGCTTCAGAATCGCAGCTGAATTATGGCCAAGTTGGTGGGGAAAATTGTTTCCTTCTGCCGAGATATACGCGTACATATATATTGTTTATGCAAGAGGGTCTGGCGGAAGCCCCCATATGGCATACTAATTGGGCCGGCGCAGAGATAAAGACCTATTGCCGCTAACAAATATTAAATATTTCCTCAGTCGCCTGAAAATGTCACTCTTAATTGGGTGACTTTACATATACTTGTGTATGTCTTCGGGAATACTTTGTAAGCGAAGAAGAAAAGTCATTCCGCTTCCACTCTGACTTTCATTTCCATTTCTTTTTTATTCTTTATTTGACTTTCTCCTCTTTTGGGGGCATTGCGGATTCGCCTCGTCCTTTGGCCCCGTTCAGCTCAGTTCTTTTCTGTTCTGCTCTTTTTTCGGGTCACTTATGCAAACAAAGTTATTAATTACACTTGCCGCTAGTTGGGGCGGCTGATGCTGCGGCGGCCCAAGGACAAATTAAGTGGTCACCAGTGCAGAGTGCCGGGGCATGTTGAAAAATGCTGCGAAAAACTGACCGAAAAATGACCGCGACCGTAGCCATTGGCCATCGACAAATAAAACGTAATGCCAGCTACAAATTTGACCTAAAAAGATAAATACTTTTGTGAAAGTTTCGGCCAGGGCTTTGGCTGTTTTGCCTCGCTGTTCGTTTTACGTGGCGCACAGCACACGTTGCGTATACGTCATGGCCGATTGCCTGCGTTCACGTTACGTATACGCCGCCTAGTTCAGTCAGTTGTTTTTCTTGCCGCGTTACTGCTTCCTCTGTTGTTGTTGTTGTTGTTGCTGTTGCTTGTTGTTACTGTTACTGCTGTTGCTGCTTTTGTTGTGTTTTAAATTTATGTATCTAAATTACTGGGGGGCAGAGTGGAGCATTTTGCATGGCCATAAATCGCTGGCAAGCTATGGCAAAAAATAAAAGCCTGCCGCACCGAGTGCGCTAAAAATAAAATGTGAATAAATAATTTGCACTGCGTCATGTCAGAAATTTTAAACACATAATTAACCGCTTATTTAACCCTTCTGTTGGCCCCCATTCGCCATTTCCCATTGCCCATTCCCCATTCCCGCCGCTACCGCTGCGCCAGATTACTCGGCTTGTGTTCGACGCGGGTCTCCGGGGGGGTGAAAGCAGGGGGGAAAACGGAGGGGAAAGGCGGGGGCTTTTCCGAGGTTGGATGCTGCAGGGAGGCCACATGAGAAGCGCTGGAAATTCATTAAAGTTGTCTATGCTCGGGGCGTTCGCAGAACGACAATCGGGGCCAGCCCCGCAACAATGCCTTTTCTGGGACTGGGCCAGTAGGGGCAATGACGACAACGACAACGACAACGACAACGACAACGGCAACGGCAACGGCAACGGGAGCGGCAACGGCAGCACAGCGACAACGACAATGTTCGAAACAAAAGCGAAACAAAAACAAGAAACACCAACCAACAGCAACACCAACAGCAACAGTGTTGGTAATGGGCAAAAGGGGGCGGGGCCCTGCCATATTTCCATTTGTAAAACAGCAGGAGCGAACGCTGCGACAGGACACAGTTAGCCACGAAACAGTGGACCGCTGATCGGAATACAAATTTCCACGCCACTATACCATAATGGAGATAATTTATTTAACTCAAAATGAAGCGAGTTGATTAGGAGAATATTTGGCAAGTGCTGCCAGGATTTCATTTACATGCCAATGAGCCTCAAAATGGACTCGCTGAAATCTAAAATGACTTCAAAAAATAGTTTGGGTAAGCATTAGGCTGTAAGCATGATAAAGGTTTTAAGTTAATAGGTAGAAAGCGTATCAAAGAAACTTGTAAATGATAAGTCTAATGATAGCCCTTTGAAATTTGAAACCAAAAGCAATTAAAACTAAACAAGAACTTGCTTATTGTTAC